TGGAGAAGACGGTGCACCAGCGTTGCTTCGCCAGTACGTGCAGAGACGTTTGCGCATTTCTGCCAGTGTACCATGTGATGGCAATTGGTGTCGCGCCATCTCCACCATCAACTGTTGCTTTGACAGCTCATGTATCCAGCCGACACGTGGATCATCCGTTGGGTAGAGCGGAGCAGTATAGCCGGTCGAGGTCACCGGTCGTGTGTACACCGTTGACGTAGTAGTAACTGTTGATGCACACGAGCAGGTAGGGATAACCGATGACGTAGTCACCACGGCCCCAGCCATGGTTAGAACTCCTGGCGTCGTTGTCAAAATTTCAGGGAGTGAGTTAGGCATAGCTGCAAAGTATTAGTGCACAACAAGACAAACAAATTGCAAAAATAGTTTAAAAGGCTGAAATTGATTAACAATTATGAAAAATCCACAATAGGCCTATTTAAATTCAAACCTAACGTTGAACAGAACTATCTAAGTCCAAACAAGACAACTTAAAAAAAAATTTTATTTTTTTTTTTTTCAGCCTAAGTCCCAACCAGGTACTCAAAACCCAGAAAATTTGTTAAAATAGGACCAAGTCCAAACTGCTCCAAAATCCAATAATAAAAAGGCTAAAATGCAATAGGCTACTGTAAAGTAAACGTTTTACCTGAAATAAATAGGCTATCACACAAATAGGCTAAAATATTAAACGCTAAACACCAATAGGCCTAGGCTAGCAATAGGCTACAGTGACGAAACTAGAAAATATCTAGGCCTAAGCTACCTAATTAACTAGAAATGCTAGGCTAGAACGTTAACGTAGAATAAAAAATAACAGTAGGCCTAGGCAAACACTTGATAGGCTAGAGCGGTTAACGTAGGCTAAAATCTTACAACTCGACGTCAGCTGTTACAGCGATCTTAGCTTGAGCTCACCAAGTACTATCAGACTATCCAATCACTGGTCCAACTGCTTCGGGCGCCATTTATGTGACGTAATTTTCCTGGCGGACGACAAGAGGTAAATTACGCCACCGGTAAGAAAACGAGATCCCAGGATTCGCCCTAGTCTGGTCGCGGGGAGTTTCCCAGGAGTCGATAGTGATTCGGATAGCCTAACTTTGATAGCCCTGGTTGTCAGAGCTCGAGACGAACGTTGCGGGTTACTAAACACCCTACTCGAAATCACCACTCTAGCCTAGGGCTTGTGGGGAAATAAATAATTTTGACTTGACTCTGTGGGCAAATATCTAAATGACACACTACTAGCTAACTTAACAAATCAACAAGTAAGCTAAGTAGGCACTCCGCTTACCTACGGAGTTACGTCGTCACCCTGAAACAAACAAGGTTAGTACAAGATAGGCCTAACCTAGCCTAACTCCCACAGAGTCTGAATTTACTAAAATGAAAAGAAAACAAGTTAGCCTAAGTGGTCCAGGTGAGGAACGAACAAAAAAAACGAAACTAAAAAGGTGAAACTGCTCCTTGAGCCAAAAACGAAAAACTAAAACTTTAACTTCCTCACGTGTTCAACTTAGACCAACTTCGACAGAACTTGTCCAGCAGAAACCTGTCTGCTGGAACAGACTTTGGTACGTCTGGGGAACTTTAAAAAAGGGGTTTTCAGAATTAAAAAAGAAAGTCCCAAGACGGATTATGAAACGTAATTGAAAATATATTTCACCAACTGCAGTACTTTACTCAAATTGTTGGTTAAGGCGTATGACTAGGTCTGCGAATCAGGCCTAGCCTTCAAGTTCAACCAAGTTAAGTACACGAAAACTGGTCAAATAATATACAATAATCTGTAAGTTAGTTACAAAACTTACCCGATGACGAAATTATATCAAAATATTCACTACGAAACAATACGTACGAACTTAAGCTTTCAGAGCTTACGATACGAACTTAAACTTGCACGAATTTTCGAGAGCCAACCAAAAACGAAACAAACTTACGAAAAGCCGGGATTACGAATGACAATCTCCTCCACCACTCTTCTTCTTCCCTCACCTTCGTCTCAGAATCGAGACGAAAGTTAAAACGCTTCCTGATTGGTCAGCACAAACAGAGTCAGCTGAGTCCCGTGTCAGCAAAGGCAGGCGTATGATAGCTTTAACATGCTTTATAGCTGCCTCGCTCACAAAGTGGATCAGCTGCTCTTATTCTCTCCCGTAGCCCGCCCTCAGACGCAGTCGAACAACCAAACAACCAAACTGACACCAACGTCGTCTGCTGTCTTGGAATTGGAGGTTAGGTGCGATGTCAGTTTAGCGTCGCGACTAGGGCACAACAACAGCTTACATTCAGCTGTTTAAGTTTCGTGGTTTAGCCGTTATTTTACCCCCTACACATTTGACCCGTTACAGTTTATTATTGTTATTAGATATTTATAGTTCTATTATTATTATATTAATTATTTATCAGTACCTAATTAACTCATTGCATGGCATGTATTAATAATTTAATTCAAGTTTATTACCAAAATGTTCGAGGATTAAGATAAAAAACCACACAGTTTAGATTGGGTATATTGGAGTATAATTGGGATATTGTTGCAATAACAGAAACTTGGCTTAATGACTCCATTTTTAGTGCAGAGTTGTTCCCCGACCAGTACCAAGTGTACCGTAGGGAGTAGGGACAGATGTCAATTGCGGACTGGAATGTCCAGGGGTGGAGGGGTGTTAGTTGGAGTAGCTTCTCACATCAAATCCCGTAGGCTTCATTTTTTGGAAACTGAGGGAGAAAATATTTGACTGAAGTTGGAATTCCCTAATAACATATCTTTAATTGTGTCTGTTGTTTATTTTAAGCCTAACAGTTCTCTCAATGATTATATTAACTATTTTGAAAAAATCGATTTGTATAATATAAAAAAAGAAAAGCTTTTAATATTAGGAGATTTTAATTTACCAATAATGGGGAAAATGTTTGATCTAGCTACAAGTGGTGAAATTTGTAAGCAATTGTTGTTTTTTATGAAAAGTTATTGTTTACGTTTACACAATGACATTAAGAATGTGAATGGAAGAACTCTGGATTTGGTCTTATCTGACATAGATAATGTTGATGTAACTGAAGATGCGACTGCGTTAGTGAATGTCGATAAGCATCACCCACCTTTACATGTTACTTTTAAAATATTCAATTCATCTAAGTGTGGTTTTAATTCATATAGTTGGTTCCGTAATTATAAACGATCTGATTTTCTTTCAATGTATAATGGCTTTAAAAATATATCTTGGTTACAGCTTTATAGTGAGAAAAATGTAGATAGTGCTGTGGAATTATTTTATAAAGAAATCAATAATGTAATTGATTTATGTGTTCCTGTGGTAAAAAAGTTTAAGTCTAAATTTCCTCCATGGTTTAGTAAAGATTTAATTGCCTTAGTAAAGAGGAAAGAGAAATTGTTGCGAAAATATAATAAATATAAGATCCCACAGTTTTATAATGAGTACAAGGAACTACGTAAAACTATCAAGAAGGATATAAAAATTGCTTATAGAAATCATATTGATGGTATTGAAAATAGATGTAATTTTGATCCTAAGGTATTTTGGAGTGAAATTAATAAGTTGAAAAATGTATCTAACTTACCAGCTGCAATGTGTATAGATGGTGAGGAGGTGGAGGGGGGAGAGCAGATCGCGGAAAGCTTTGCTAAATATTTTAGTTCTGTTTATGATCCTTATCAGTTGGACGGCTCGGAGTTGTGCAGCCGTGCGCTTCGCTCCCCGGTGTTGCCAGGGGTCCCGACCATGACACTCGTAGGGATCACTCGCTCTGAGGTGCAATCAGCTCTTCGCAAATTAAAGCCAAAACGTTCTGTAGGACCAGATGGTATTCCTCCTTACATTTTCAAAGCATGTGCGGAACACTTTGTCGCTCCTTTGTTGTATATTTTTAATCTTTCTATTTACAACTCTTACTTTCCTACATTTTGGAAACGTGCTAAGGTTGTCCCTATTTTCAAAAAGGGTCAGAAGTCAGAAATAAAAAATTATCGGCCAGTGGCAATTCTTAGCTCACCTGTCAAGGTATTCGAGACCATAATACATTCTAGGTTATTTGTTCATGTAAAGAGTTTCATCAGCCCGCACCAACATGGTTTCTTTCCTGGTAGATCGATCACGTCCAACTTGATTAATTTTTCTGAATATTGTTTGTCGGCAATGGATTCTGGAGATCAGGTGGACGTAATTTACACAGATTTCGAAAAGGCATTTGACAAGGTCAACCATTTGACACTGCTTTCAAAACTAAATTATTTTGGACTTTCTAGTCCTCTTGTTAAATTGTTTTCTTCATATCTTCATGATAGAGTTCAATATGTTTGCTATGGCGGATTTTCATCTTCTGAATTCCGTGCATATTCAGGGGTACCTCAGGGTTCAAATTTAGGCCCACTGCTGTTCACAATATTCATAAACGACATATCTGATTGCATCCGAAACTGTGAATATTTGTTATATGCTGATGATTTGAAAATGTTTCGTAAAGTTACTTGTGTGTCAGATTGTTTGAAAGTGCAGGAAGATATAGATCGTCTTTTATCGTGGAGCGATAACCACTTGAAATTTCATGTAGATAAATGTTTTGTAATGTCTTTTACAAGAAAATCTGAAGTGAATAAAATAGTCTTCAATTATTCAATGAGAGGTAGAATTGTTTCTGTCAAATCAATTATTAAGGATCTGGGAATCACTTTTGACTCAAAACTCTCTTTCATTCACCATATTACTTCCATTTGTAAATCCGCTTTTTCTATTCTGGGGTTCATACGTAGGTCGAGTAATTTCTTGAGAAATACTGGTGTAATAAGGTTACTGTATTGCTCGTTGGTAAGATCAAAGTTGGAGTTTGGGTCAGTTGTATGGAACCCTCATCAGCGCTATCTGTCTGATACTATTGAAAAGGTTCAGACAAAATTTCTCAGGTTTTTGTATTACAAAGAGTTTGGCCACTATACTACTAGTGTCCCCTATTCTGAGCTGTTATCATTGTTTGAACTAGATTCCCTTGATAAGCGGCGGCGAGTGTCTGTGTTGGTATGCCTGCATAATCTGGTGAGCGGTAAGCTGGATAGCGGGGCCTTGTTGTCCAAAGTCCAGTTTAATGTGCCTCGGCACAATTCTCGTTGTCGCTTCCTGTTCTCCCCTCACTACTCTCGAACAAATCTTGGAGCAAATTCGCCTGTAAATGTAATGACAAAACTGTATAACTCTGTTTCGGCGTGTGTTGATATTGATTTGTTTGGCTACTCTTTGAGTTTATTCCGCGGGCGTGTGCTGGGGGTGCTGGCTGACTGAGTGATTGTACTGTGTTGTGTTTTTACACGGCACTGTGCCGTATTGGTCGGCCGGCGCGTTTGGTGCGCGCTTGCGGGGTGGACTTGGCGAGCTGGCCTGCGGATTAGTGTTGGCATACGTCCCAACTGGTTGCTTCTGCACATAAAACTATTATATAATATTTTTTTAACCGTTCTCTGAGAGTTTTGTTTTCGTTACTTTATTTATTGATATGTCTATTTATTGTTTTTATGAAATGTTATTATTATTATTTATTGGTTGTTATCTTGTCTTAGTAGTTAAATATTATGTAAATTGTGATGTTGTGTGTACCTACCAAGAAGACTGCATGGACTTTCTATAATGGACTTAAAGATTAATGCTGCATTGTAATTGGGCTCTATGCCTGTAATGTAGTATTGTTATCTAAATAAATAAATAAATAAATAATAGTTTTGCCAGCATATCTGCAAATATGCAAACTAACTGCTGTTCTTAATCTTAATATAAGAAGGTTTCAACTGACTACTATAAGATCCCCGTGCGTAGAACGGGCACACAGCTAGTTTATTAATATTACGGTATAGCTTTATTACTTTTCAATACAGCCAGCTATGGTTCTCGTTTGGTAGTTAGGCTAGATGATAACAGAATTGATTCTGTGAAATTTCAGTAGCTTTTTTATGATTTGAAATTTTCTTGCCTGCTAGGTCTGACCAGATTTTATCTATCTAGCTTGCCCAACCTACTCTCCATTATAGTCGGTCATTATCTACTTTTGTCCATCACTTCTTTACATTAATATGTCAAGCAACTCATTTTTGATATCTTGAACCTTGTCACCTACGCTTGTTCTTAAAATTGTAAAGGAATGTAATATAGTTCTTAAATTCAAATAAATTGTCCACACACCTATGAAAGAGTTTTGAGTGGTTGTGACTCGTAGCTCTCACTTGCAAACATGATTGTTCACAGAAAGACACACAGCCAGCTGTTGTACCACAGGGCTGATAAGAGGGTTGGTACTGCTGTGCACTCAGTTGGAACCATGGAGTGTTGCCCTGGCGACAAACACAGATCAGAACTAAATGTGACTTAAATCTTCTATATAAATAAGGGTTTCCCTGTTACATCCCTTTTCCAGCTGTCCTAATAAACCAATTTTTACGGTTGAGGTGTCATTTTGAAGCTTATGATCTAGCGAGCCTGCGAATGGTAATTAGAAAGGTAATTGTCTTCAGTGCTTCGTCACCCTGATGTTTAATTTATTTCCAGAGTACATTTCAATGATCCAGTTATGCTGACCAACTTTCTTTATAGCGGGTTAAATGTGAATTGTAATTTAACAGCTGTTCCTCCAGTAGAATTTTTAACCACAGTCAGACTGTAAACAAGAGACTTTTAGGTTAAAACAGAAACTTTGCACATAAATGAATAAAAAAAAAACGAGGTTTTAGTGTAGTAATAATCAAATATATGAATTTTTTTTAATAATCTCGTCTCATAAATGTCTTAAAGAGTCAATCTCGCAGGAACGAAACAAAATTTTTAATACTAGCAAATTTCTCAAAAATTTGAGACCCGTCCATCTCTAATATCTTTAACACTTTTGTTGAAAACGACAAACTCAGGTTTTAAACGTTTTGTTGCAAACTCAGGTGTAATCACAGCTTTACACACAGTTCAAAGCCTGCTTATACTGTAGAACTAAAATATCTCATTCAACATACTCACATTCATAATTATTCCTTGACAAAAGTTTGTGTGAAATGGCAAATTCGCTGGTCCATGGACAAACAAAAAACGTGAGAGTTTGTTCCAAAAGCTTGTTTCCCTCTCAATGAATAGTTCTGGAGAAGCGGCTTCAAAAGTCCATCCTGGGGCAAAAATTGCTACAGACATGTTCATACTACGAAGGAGACCCAAGGCCTGAAAATAGCAGTTTTGATACTAATAGCATTTTGGTTAAATATGGTTGGCACCAATAAAAGGTTATACAGGGTTATTACAAGTGGTGTTCTTGATTTTTATTATAGACTAAGTATTACTGGGTTGATTTGTTTTGAGAATATCTAAGTTGGTACCATTGGAAAGAAATACTCATTAAGTGTCATTTACATTGGTTTGGGTGCATATCAGCTGTTTGTCAAGTAAATTGTTGTAAGTGTTGAATAATGGCTGAATTTGAAACCGGAAAGCTTTTTGTTTTTGGGATACCACATTAACCAATCTGTTTTTAGTGTGCAACGACACTTTAGAACCAGGTTTAATGAAGATCCTCCTAGTAATGTGAACAGGCATAATGTCAGAATATGGGGCTGAGAGAACCCACACGCTTACATTGAGCACGTACATGAAAGTTACTGTGTTTTGTGCTGTCGCTTACAACAAAGTAAATAAATAAATAAATAAAGTGTTCACACCTTTTTTCTTCATTGAAAAAAAAGGGTAAATGCGAATATTTTCTTGGACATGGTGGCAAAGTGGTTTCTTCCGCAATTAAAACAAGATTCTGCAAATTCCATTCTACAATTGGATGACACACCTCCCCATTAACACTTGGATGTTAGGACTGAGCTTGACAATGTGCTACCACTGCTGCCTGAGAGATTGGTAGCTGAATGCCTGGTGGTCCGAATGATGACTCACTCCTGAACTGGCCTCTTAAGATCTCTGGACATCCCCCTGTGATTTTTATCTAGTGATACATCACAGAATCAAGAACTTTAAGAATCAAAGATAAGGTACACACCACCATAACCAGATAGCATACCTGAGATTTTATAAATAAATACATACCCAATTTCCGACCTTAGTTTACACAGCTACATATTATATTTTATCTTATTTGTTGCATTTTTTGTATTGACTGACGTTTGCTATACAATGTACAATTGTCAAAAAGCAATAAAGAGATTATTATTATTATTATTATGTTACCTTGTCAAGATTAAAGCCTCCATCATAATAACAGTTTCGTCCCCAGACATCAACTCCTACATAAACGTCAAGTTTCCTGTTTCCAGCCTCTGTCAGTGTGTCTGCTAGGCCACTGGGGGTCCACACATAGTTAAGGAAAATGCCATCGCACTTGTCAAAGAACAGTCTGAAAACCAGAAATTACTTCCTCTGAATAAGTATTTAATAGTGAAATTTGAAGATTATGTGTCACAAAAACATGTATGATTTTACAGCTCTCCCGTGGTATATTGTTAACCTACTGTCCAATTTATTGGAAGGGTATTGACTATAAAAACATAGCACAATGGTATTATCAAGAAATACATTAATGAATTGAATGCCTAGTTAGCCAAATGGTTAAAGTGATTATTTTTAAATCTGAAGTTCACTGGTTCGATTCCAAGTAAGATCGTTTCTAGACCCAGATGCTATTTGCTATCTAAATAAGTCGTAATTTGATAGTAAAAAGACCAGGGATTGGACCGTTTCCTTTCACAAAACAACAAAAACTTCTAATGGCTGAGAAACAGAAATTTAAAAAAACTCCCTATCATGCTGCCATTTTATCATGGTTCTGCCAATGATATTCCGCCCAAGTCAGAGAAGTAAGTTAATGGGTACAACTAATATACTTACTTATATAATATATTTACTTTGTTACAACAAGAGACCAAGTTTCTGACTTTCAAATTGTCTATTTTGCATGTTAGCTGTTTATAAACCACCTAAAAATAATGAGTAATTTTCATTCATTCATCCATTTAAAAATAACTAGTGAACCTGTTGCTTGAATTCGAGCAATTGAATGAAGTATTACAGGCGTTATTTCAAAACGAATAACAGTCATAATTTCAGATGACTTAAAAGAGTCAACTCAAAGATAATGTAGGCGTAATCAATCACTCCACTCCAGTTATCGAAACTGAAAACGGAACGCTCTCATGTGTTCACTATGAACAGCTGTAATTAATAAAAATTATTCGTCTTTATAAGTAAACAAATCTTTTCTTCATAAGAAATACATTGGGGTTTTGATGGCCTGTGGGGCAAAGCCCGAGGACTTTTTTTACAGGAATTGGTAAAAGTCTACACAAAAATACTTAATTTTGACACATCGTTTGTAAAAATCCGTCCACAGAGGAGTAGTGTTTTGTATAAATCGCCTTCACGTATTGTATATAAGGATGAGAAAGTTTTAATAAATGAATTAAATGAAGTACTAGGTGGCGTTCGCAGAGGAATCCACAAAATTGAGCGGAGTCATCAAGGGTTCATATTATATTGTTTTTGTCTTACTGCAGTAAAAACAGTATTTTTTCATGCATGCGCTGCGGGTCTAAAGTAGCATTTTTAATATTTAGGGAGTAAAAATCGTTTTTAGCCTCTATGGAGTAAAAATCAGCTGTTGTCAACTCAGTTGTAAATTTCGATTGTAAACGATTGCATGTATCGAAAATATGTATCGATTTGTGCTTCGTAATCATTTTAACATATTACAGTCTACAGTCTCTTCCCGTAGCATTTTAGCATTGCAGATACATTAATCCATTCCCAAACTCAACACTGCTCACCTTTACTACTTCCTTCACCACACCCTACGTCGTGGACCTGTTTCCCTCTCTTCCCATAGCATTTTAGGATTGCAGATACATTACTTTAATTGCCAAAGACAGTTCCCACACTCTGCGCTGTTAGCCTTACTACTTCCTTCACCATTTACTACGTCATTGGCCTGTTTCCTTCCTTTCTCATAGCATTTAAGTATTACAAATTCATTTATCCATCTGCTCAAACGGTTCCCCCACTCTGCACTGCCAGCCTTTACTACTTCCTTCACCACTTACGTCGTGGACCTGTATTCATCGCTTTCCATAGCATTTTAGTATTTTAGATACGTTAATCTAATTGCAACAAACATCCCCACTGTCCGTACTGCTAGACTTTACTACTTCTTTCACAATTTCCTATGTCTTGGGCATGCTTCCATTCCTTCTCATAGCATTTCAGCATTGCAGATACATTAAAACTGCTACAAACGGTTTCCAGTTCCCAAACTCCACACTGCTCACCTTACTACTTCTTTCACCTGTTCCTACGTCGCGGATCTGTTTCCCTCTCTTCCCATAGCATTTTAAGATTGCAGATACCTGAATCTAATTGTCATAAACAGATCCCACACTCCGAACAGCTCGCCTTTACTACTTCCTTCGCCACTTCCCACATCGCGGACCTGTTTCCCTCCCTTTCCGTAGCATTTTAGGAATGTTGTGACCTTAATCTAATCGTCATAAACAGTTTCCATACTCCAGACTGTTCACCTTTACTACACCCTCATGTGGGTGTGTTTCACTTAACCTCTTCATACGTCACGAACCTCAAGCTAGTGTCGTCATTTGATTATAGTACCTGGGGACTGAGCTTTGCTCGGGGAAAATCATTAGTTCACTCTGAAAGCACCGTAGTATTGGAGATACATAAATCCACACATCTACATCCTACACAATATCCTACGTCATGGATCTGTTTCCCTCCATTCCATTGCATTTAAAGATTGCAGGTACCTTAATCTAATCGTCATAAACAGTTCCCACACTCCGGACTACTCGCCTTGACTACTTCCTTCACCACTTCCTACGTCGCGGACCTGTTTTCCTCCCTTTCCATAGCATTTTAGGATTGCAAATACCTTAATCTAATCGTCATAAACAGTTCCCACACTCCGGACAGCTCACCTTGACTACTTCCTTCATCACTTCCTACGTCGCGGACCTGTTTTCCTCCCTTCCCGTAGCATTTTAGGTTTGCTGATACCATAATCTAATTGTCATAAACATTTCAAACACTCCGGACAACTCGCCTAGACTACTTTCTTCACCACTTCCTACGTCGCGGACCTATTTTCCTCCCTTTCCATAGCATTTTAGAATTGCAAATACCTTAATCTAATCGTCATAAACAGTCCCCACACTCCGGACAGCTCACCTTGACTACTTCCTTCATCACTTCCTACGTCGCGGACCTGTTTTCCTCCCTTCCCGTAGCATTTTAGGTTTGCTGATACCTTAATCTAATTGTCATAAACATTTCCAACACACCGGACAACTCGCCTAGACTACTTCCTTCACCACTTCCTACGTCGCGGACCTATTTTCCTCCCTTTCCATAGCATTTTAGGATTGCAAATACCTTAATCTAATCATCATAAACAGTTCCCACGCTCCAGACAGCTCGCCTTGACTACTTCCTTCACCACTTCTTACGTCACGGACCTGTTTCCCTCCCTTCCCATAGCATTTTAGGATTGCCCATACCCTTATCTAATCATCATAAACAGTTCCCACGCTCCTGACAGCTCGCCTTGACTACTTCCTTCACCACTTCCTACGTCGCGGACCTGTTTCCCTCCCTTCCTATTGCACTTAAAGATTGCAGATACCTTATTCTAATCGTCATAAACAGTTCCCGCACTCCGGACTACTCGCCTTGACTACTTCCTTCACCACTTCCTACGTCGCGGACCTGTTTTCCTCCCTTCCCATAGCATTTTAGGATTGCAGATACCCTAATCTTATCGTCATAAACAGTCCCCACACTCCGGACTGCTCGCATTTACTACTTCCTTCATCACTTCCTACGTCACGGACCTGTTTCCCTCTATTCCCATAGCATTTTATGATTGCCTATACTACTTCCTTCACTACTTCCTACGTCACGGACCTGTTTCCTTCCCTTCCCATAGCATTTTAGGATTGCAGATACCTTAATGTATTCGTCATAAACAGATCCTAGACTTCGCACTGCTACCCTTGACTACAATGTATCGAGTAATCTTAAGTATAATCTTTGCTCAATATTAACAAGTGATGTTTTTCCTTTTGTACTGTATTTGTAATTTCCTAGTATACTGTGGGTAGTTGGCTTATTATGAGCACATGCTAAAACTTCAAATCTTTTGTTTACTTTTTACTTGTTATTTAATTCAGCCAACATGGTTACCTAGCAACCCATAAGACTAATGTTAAAAAATGTGATTTTCAATTTCATTTTTCTACGGATTCCTGAGAGACTTTTTTAACGCCATATAGATGTTGGCACTCACCGATATGGTCTTTATCACCATGCAAAATTTGAAAACGATTGATTCAGCCGTCTAGGAGGAGTTTGCGTATTACGAAATGCATAAAAGTCGACGTATAAGAGCTTCGCTCGCTTCGCTCGCTCCGCTCAATTAATAGTTATTAAAAATAAATATGTTATTTTACTTGAAGATTATAATATTAACTTAAAAGATAAATTTTGTATGAATGTGAATTAATATAAAACTAATGGCAGCCAATGGTTTGAAATCATGTATTGACCAGTATACTAGGGAGGAAGTAAGACTAGGACAACTGGTTTGATATCTTATTGACCATATCTACATTAGAGGAAACAACAGCAGGCCAAAGTCAGCTGTGGTCAAGATAAAGATATCTGATCACTACCCTTTCCTGTTGAATTTTCATGTAGGAGAGGAAAATTTAAACCTGAATAATATTTCTAAGAAAAAACAACTAGATAATAAATTGATCAATCTGGGCATAAAAATATTGATTGGTCAATACAGTGGAGTCCCGATAATCCGAACTTCGGTAATCCAAAAGTCCGCTTAATCCGAAACAAAAAAATATATTAAAAAAAAAAATCTTTTTTGAAAATTTTTTGGAAATTTGTTTAAGTTTTGTGGAAATTGTTTGAAATGTTTTTGAATTTTTTTTATTAAACTTTTGACACAGTTAGCTGTACCTCGTCAAAGTATTCTGTAGCGGCCGGGCGAGATAGACTGTTTTTGTAGAGTATTTTAGTAAATATTTCACCATTTTTGTTATTACTGTAACATTTTACATTCTCCTCCGCCAAATCACAAATGGATTTTACTAAGTGATAATGCTGCAGCCAATAGGTTTAGCCTTAAGTAATGTGAAAAACAATCCCGGGCTCGTGTTTGCGCCCGAAAAAAAGTAGTAAGAAGTAAGACGAAAAAAATTTAAAAAAAAACCCTTTAATCCGAAAAATTCGGTAATCCGAAATGGGCCCGGTCCCAACCATTTCGGACTAACGGGACTCTACTGTACTACAAAATTTTGTTTGTTCCTCAAATGACAAAAATGACAGTTATAAAAAATCTATATATTTAATACGCTGCATGTTTTTTCTTGTGACAACTAATTTGAGAGAACCACGGCTAGGTGTAGAAACTTGGTAGAGGTATCTAAAGAAAGGTCTTGGTCTGTATATGAGCCATCAAAAGAGAAACAAGGTAAATTCCCTTGGGGCTCTGCCCCAGCGGCCTTTAAAATTCCATTCCCGTGTTATCCTTATGGAGGAAAAACCCAGGTTTTTGTCGCAGCTAATTTGAGAGAAGGTCTAGGCGTAAAGGCTTGATAGAGGTGGCTAGAGAAAGGAACCAAGCCACAAGACAACAAGGATTTTTTTGTAGGATTTTGAGGGAAGGTCTTGGTCTGTAGATAAATCAGGATACCAAAATTTATATAAAAATTACCGTCTTATCAATATAATGTGCAATAATAGATAAAATAATGGAACGATAATGAAAAAAATAACTATCAGTGTTTTTTTTAAATTGAAATTTGCATGGTAACTCTCAATGGAACATTTAGTACACACAAAGAACTGTGTTGATTGTTGGTTGAGCTTTTATAAGCTTTTAATTAACTAAAAGGTATATATTTTCATTCAACATGTCGGTGCAGACAAACCTTGTATGGTTTTTGCACCTAATAAAAAAACTAATAGTTCAATTTTTAATCGAATGACTTATTACAACACAACAGAGTATGAGAAGTATAAGAAATTACCTAGATATAGAAAGTATCTCACTTGTTCAATGGGCATAGTTTGTTTTGCCAGTCTAACTTCCCCTCTACAGTGACAGAATCATACCACAAAAGCCAAGTTTTCCTCTTGCAATAAAGGTCCAAATGTGATTTCAATAAACCTACAAAATTGACCAGTGGCGCAACCAAATCTTGTGCAACTTTATTTTCAACATTCAATAAGTATCCATCAAACTTAAAATGTGCACAAATTTCAGCAAGCTTTTGAGAGAACAATGAGGTCTTTTCCGGGTCTGAGAGAATGTAATTCCAAATATTCTCTCCTTCACCCCATTCTGTAATCAAGGTACCTGTAAAAATGAACATGTATTAATCTGAGAGAAGTGCGAGATTAAAAAGGACCAAGAATAACTTTTACTAGAGGCTTAATAAATGAAAAGGCCTGATGAATTCGTAGTAAAAACAAATATAGTATATTACTAGATTTTTTCAAAAGAAAACTCAAAAAGTAAAAGAAGATACAGATTTGAGATGTAATCAATGAATTCTAATTGATAAAAGTCTAAAGAAATACTGGAATGGACAAATCTTAAGATATAAAGACAGGGGAAGCATAAACCAAGAATATTTCATTTTTCCTCTTGGTTATGGCCTGTGTGTTACAGTATAGATACCCTCAAAAGTTTATCTAAGTAGATGTAAAATATTTTTAAAAGGTTTAAAAGAAATCTACCGCTTCAATGATAAGTTGTTGGCTGACTTTCATAAATTTTTTCATCAACCTAGGAATATCTTTAAAATTTACATTTTTTAGGACACCAACCTAATACTGGTACTCCATGTTTGTGTCCCGCATCTAGCCAACCATGTGGTGGTATTGTAACAAGCTTGTGACTGAAGTAAATGAAGATATCAATGACAGACCAATTGAAAAAGCGGTAGGTATGAATGTCAGGGGAGCCATTACAAAATCTGAAAAACATGACTTATCAGTGAAAATAAAATAAGACTGCTGTGATATAGTACTAATTGATTTTGGTATTGCACTAAAATAAAGAACTGTAACTGAGGTAGCCTACTGTACTCAAAAAAGTGATTGGTTTAAGCCTGCTTTTACAGACAAACTTTTTAAAATGCAAGGTTTGCCAACGATATAAACGACACAGTTCTGAGGGCCACAGACAACAACCAGTTTCTGTTGAGATAGTCACAAAACTATGCTTGCATAGCCTATTGGCATGTTGAAAATACATACCACGATTTGCTTTAGTCTAAGACCGTGGTAAGGTTAAGTGGGGTACCGGTAAGTGTACGCAATCCAAATCACATACCGGTAGTACAACTTTGACCACAGATTAAAAAAAGGCATGTAGGTGCTATAAAAATCAAATTGTTATTCTTTAGAATGTTTTGTATATGTGGTTTTTTATTTTGTTAAAAATATGAATTTTGTGTTTTTGAGAGTTTTTTGTAAAATGATGTTTGCGGTGTGCACTTCCCCCTTGATCTGGGGTAAGTGTACACCCCCCCCCCTCCTCTTATTGTAGATTTAGGCTACACTGCATATTACTTGATGTTGGGGGCAAGTGGATTTTAGAGGAAAAAATTAGCTTTCTTTTGATTTTTGATTTTTCAAAATACCTCAAACGGTTCAGGAGGTATAAACTATTTTGGGAACCTCTGCAAGGGAAAACGGAAACCCCAGAGTTATTAAATTCTAAAGAAATAAAAACCTTATGATTCCACTATTTCATTGAACTAACAATTACTAAGTCTCAAAGAGCAGAAAATGAGCTTTATTTTGTTTTTTTAATAATATCTTAAACTATGGCCTACATTAGTTAACAGGTTTTCGTAAACCTCCGCTCGGTGAAGTAACTTAAAACCTTAATATTTTAAATTGTAATTGACTTAGGCCCTGAATGTTCCTATATTCAATCTTAACCCTTCCAGGGCTATGGACGGATATATCCGTCCCGAGAAATTTCTTTTCTGGGATAAAGACGGATATATCCGTCCAAAAAGCGAATTGATACACAATGTTTATAATACGGTAATAAACATTACACTGCATTATAAATGGGTTATTTTGTTTTTGTGGTTGGCAATAACAATTGCCGCAGCTGTTTCGGCTATTTTGCACCATAGAGTGTGCCTAAGTAAATACTGCTGTCACTTCACACATGGTTGTAAGTGAGTGATGATTACATTTTGTGTTTTGTAGTTTATTTTTATGTTATTGAGCTAAAGTTACTAATGCAAACAATCTGAAAATTGAAGATGTTATTGAGATGCTTAATAAAAGTATGTCTGAGAGGGGTTTTATACTTGGCAGGGAAAATAATAGTATTGAATGTGATGGATATGATGCACCTGAAGAACAGTCTTTACGTAGTGGAAGTCTTGGCGGGGAATGGGATTGAGGACATGGGAGCAAAACTGAGTGGTTTAGATTTACTTCAGAATGATAGATACATTTTTATGGATAAAAATAAAACAAGGGAAGGAATAGCCTAAGGTTGACGGATATATCCGTCTACCGCCCACAAGAATACTCAAGATTATTGGCAGTGTTCATATTTTGTGATTATCACTGAGGGCGGCAGACGGATATATCCGTCCACCTTATGTTTTTTGTGGGCCAAAGACGGATATATCCGTCAAATCAAATTTTATTTTCTTCATAACTTTTGTACAAAAATTAGTTCAGCCCTAAGGAAAATCTTTTTATGATCCATGAATTATTTCAAGTGAAATAAATACAAAACACAACCACTTTAGTTTTTCATTTTTGGCAAAAAATAATTAAGCTCCAGCCCTTCATTTAATTTAGCCCTGGAAGGGTTAAAAACTAAATTAACAAAGTGCCAGTTTTTTCTTGTCATTCAAGCATGATATAACAAAGTTTTCTTTATTCTTAGATAATTTATCAGTTATTGAGGAGTTAATGCACCACTTAGGCCGCAGCTCACAAAATTTTGATCTGCCAAAGTTTTTGTAATGTATCATATGTAGGCTATGACACTGACACTCTGGATGAGTCTTCTTGAGTGCTAAGTAAATCCAGTCCATTTAAGTTACATAGAACCGTTGACTGTAAATCCTTAAGATAGAACCGAACGCTTTTGTTTTTATATTTTATTTCCATTTATAACCACTTTGGTTCTTGATAATTTTTTCTGGACATGTTCTAGCTTTTAATTATGTAACAAGTTTACTATCACATTGTTATTATATTGTGTATAGATTTTCTATACCACTTAAATCTGGTGATTAAGCTGGCGCAAAAGTTGAAATTTCCTTTAAATTCAAAATTGTATAACTCGGCTTAGGATCAAATACCAACATTCAAATTTTTGCTGTATGTTCCTACTATATAGGCACATCACTTATGTAAAAATTGGATTTTTATAGTTTGCCCCACCAGAAATATTGCACTTCAAACTTTTGAAAAATTGGAAAATTTAAATTTTTAGTACCTTATAAAAAGTTAAGGAGACTGAATTCAGACTTAATATTCTGACATATGCAAGTATTTAACCATACCTTACAGGATAAAAATCATTAGCTATGGTACTTTATTCCTTCTTTGTAAAACTATGCTTTAAAAAGAGCACATTGTTGAAAAGTATTTTCAAAATAAGATGAATATTTTAAGGCATTACTGATTGTTTTAGAGAAAATGTTTAAAGGACCTTATATATAGAGGGGACTTCACTGAAAATAATGGTACAAGTCTCATTGTTGTAGCTCTATTCTGTAAAAAGATATTTAATTTATCGCTGATGCCTGCAAAGCCCAAAACCGCCGTGCGCGGCCTGACAAAAATGGCCGCAACTTCTAAACGGAACTAGATCAAAACATTTTAAAAACTGTTTTGAGGTCATAATTATAAGGGTAATAACATATAAAAAAGTATGAAAATACAAAATGGTCGAGCAACCAAGTATTTTTATATTGGATCACTTCAGATGGATTGACCCTAACCTTAACTTTACCTTCCTAATCTAACCTAACTTCAAAACACTTTTAATACAGTCACGAAACTGCATAAAATCCGACTTACCTTCCCCACATGCCTAAATAAGAGCTGTTAGTTTTAAAACTAGTGATGCGCGATTGCAAGATGTACCATTCAAACATTTCGATTTTTTTTTGCCATTCGAAAATATTTTCGAATGGTTATTCTGCATTCCAAATGTGCATTCGAAATGGCCAATGACAATAATTATTTTATTTTATATAAGTTAATATCGTTATGGGAAATCAATAAAAGTACGGTAAGATTTTAACACAATTAATTTATACAAAAATTGCACTGCTCATAACCTAAGGCGACTCTAAATTGACCATTTAATGCAGGCAGGACATTGGAATGACTGGAGGAATCAATAACAACGATGCCTGTAAAATATCGTGTTGGAACAGGATTAACAGGGATGTTATTATTAACTTACAGCCGTGTTCGCAGAAAAACAAACGGATTATTTCAAATGAATTTGTTCGAATGCAATGAATCGTTGGAAACATTCCAAACGGAACCTTAGATTCGTAATTTTAACCTTCGTTTTACAGCCTCTTATGAATCTCTCCGACAAAAACTGATTTGATTTTTGGATTCTGCGAGAAAAAAACTATAAGTAGACACCGAAAAATGACGATCATATCCCAATGTAGAAATACTAATTGGGCCCTAATTGCCGATTTAATCTAATAAGGACCTTGAATTATAATTTATGTAGGCTATTAGAAAACAAACAAAACTAACACAGCTAGAACTTACTTGTCTTCAAGGTAGCCCCCTTTGAAATCGTGACAAAATACAGTCTTTGGCACTAGGCATTGCTTTAGTTTGTATTCAGGAAATACAGTTGTTTTTTCTCTAACATCTAGCAATTGACCTACACTAACAAATTTGGTGTTATCACACAAATCACTGACACCATATTTATCAATCCAACAGTTTCCATTACATTTCCACTGCATAACACTGCCAACATCTAATATAGGATAACAAATATCACTAGAATAATCCATTTTTAGAAGGAAATATCTTATTAGCCTTAAAAAAATCCGTGTTGGGAGCTGGAAAACAGGATATAGAGCTCACGAATCGTGACTCACGATCGAACAACTTTTATCATTCAAAGTACGAGTAGTACGAGATAAGGTTTGTTTACTAGTGACGAGGTAGTTAGCCTAGAGGAAAGGTTCACAGTCACTTAACTTTTGACGTTTTGATTGACATTTGGGTTTCCGAGGCTTTTGGTTTTGAATCCAGACGAAATCATAGACCTATAAAATCTCATTCGTACAAATGAATGCAGCAGCACGACCGTCTCACCGCAGTAATAAATCCATTTTTTTTTAGCTGCAACTGTTACATTTGCGTTAAATGTCGCTCTGTGGAACAGATTGGATGAGCCGTTACTGATAAATATTCCCTCGTCCCTCCCTTCGCCATTCGTAACTCGGGTCGGGACTCTGCCTACCCCCATCATCCAGTGCGGTCAGTGTCGTGAACTGTGAAGTGTTTCTCTTTCACTAGCGATTTCGAATTATGCTTGATATTTGATATGTTGAACATATCACCTGTTATGAATTTTGGAATGAAGAAGCTCTGCACAAGACCGCCTCCTTCATGTATAAGACTGGGGAGAAAATGAATCCCTTTCCCTGTAATATTTTGTGGCCTATAAGTTCCTATTTTACTACTTATGAGTTGATGGTTTATGTTTCCATAAATTAAAGAAATATGGGTAATTATGAACTTAACTTATACTTTTTTCCAAACCTGGGCTAATTAGCTAACTTAGGAAATTCTAATCACTCTTTTCCTTTGAAAATTTTGGAGCAAACTTGACCTGGGCGTTCTTACAGTCTTTAGTCAATGCGCATTGAACATCCTAATACTTTTGAAAGAGAATGTCCATCTAATAGGAAAAGATTTCGTCTACACTAGTGATCAGCGTCACCGGACATGAACTAGACAGGAAAAACAAGCTTCAAAATTTAAAATGGGACGGGTAGTCTACTTGGGCTAGTTATTCTATGGTATTATATTGCTAAAAGAACACAACCCGCCACCTCTGTTTTTTTGTGGTGGCGCTTTGACGACTCTGACCAAAACACCGAGGTGGCGGTTTGACGTGGTGGCGCCTTGACAGCGACCCGAGTTTGATAATTTAAAATCAGCATCTTGTACAGTATGTGTTCAGTGAGCTTTTTATTTTGTTGTTTTAATCAGCTTTAATTACACAATAGACTAACCAAACACAAAGTGTATTCTTTATCTATGGTTTAATCTAAGCTTGAACTCATTGGACAATGGACTTAAAAATTAATTTAATTACCTCCCTAGATGATCAGCGACCTCATGCATGGTGAATTAAAGCTGCATTCTTCATGCATCTACGTTTGCCTTAGATTTGTTTTGTTTTCTGCAACTCGCTCGCATCCGCAACGAACCGTGACAGCAAATAAAAAAAACTAACCATAACATAACCAACAAAACATTACAATACAAATACGAAATACAAAACACAACAGGCGTAGTCGTCGTAGTCCTACCTTTCATCCCATGTGACAATATACTTTTTAGTATTTAAGTGTAATATGGATCGTTATAAATATCACATCTCATGAGGTGTTAAATGTGCCTGACTACTAATAATTGGTTTGAACTTGACGGCCTTTAGTGACCATTTTACAGTTGTAATTAACTTAGTTCTGCAGTTCAGTACCTAAGTAAAAACATACCTAACCTATAGGTTAACCTAAGTTTTACACCCATCTAGCTTTAACTATTATCTATAGTAGGCCTGCATGGAGTAGAATATTTTTAACATCGATAATTCACATGGCACCAAAATCTACGTTTACACACAGTATGAAGCAGAATAAAAAGGTGAGTAAGTTTTAGGTGTATGATTTGTTCTAGTGTTGGGTAGCCTATCGATAGTCAATATATCGAAAATATTGATGTTTTGAAGCCGATAGTCGATGTTTTTGCCATCGATAGTTGTCTTCCGATATATTTTTGGTATCGATATTTCACTCCGATATTGGTATGACCACCAAGGCCTACTATTGATATTTTACACCGGACAATAATTTGTGTTAGTAGCGTATACGGCAAATTAGTAAGTTATATTTATACTCTGATATTTATTTTTTACAAGGTATCATTTTGTTTTACTATCAATGTTTTTCTCCAATATTTATCGATAGGTACAAATATCGTTACTGGTTCAATGTCCCAACACTAATATGTTCCACTAAAATGTAAAAGAAAAACCAATAACTTAGACTTAACCTTAAAATAGAACCCTTCAAGGTTGAATTATTAAGCGCGCCGGACCCAGTTAAAGCAGTTTTTACCAAACCATCCCCATTTGGTGGTTGAGATAAGGTTAGTGCTAGTCATGATTAAGTTAAATTAGCCTTAAGTTAATAGCTGGTTATCAGCATCAAAATAGAATAAAAAAATACCCGTCAACTGAAATATTTGGTCCACTAGTGAGTACTACGACTTTCCGCAGTACTATCCTGATCTCAATTAGACCAATTTGTTCATTTCAAGGCAAAAATGTTGTTCAGATTCCATTAAGTTATAAACTGTAGGTCCCTAAGTTGCTGCCATTGGTTGTATTGGCTAATAATTAAGTAATTTTCCTTAACAGTCCTGTCTAAGGGAAATGTCGAACTTCACTAACAAGACTAGGTACAAGATCGTGCCACTCATCTTCATTCATACTTGGCTTAAAATACCTACCTTCGTATGGTCGCCAATCAGATAAAAGTATTAAGGGGTGAACATCAATCTGGTTTAATAAAGTGTTTCTAGGCGTTGGGCAAACTAAAAAGTTAGTACCAGTACAATCAAATGTAAAAAATAACCTGATGCTGATATTGATTCTTGTAGTCCTCTTGACTCTATAGCCTATATATTAATAATTGTTTCCTCAATAACAGCTAGGCCTACTTTAAGACAGGACTTAGTTATCTAGCTTTTTCAGAACTATCCAGAAAGAATTTCTCTAAAAGCTTGATAAGCCATACCAAGTGGTCACTGTATGGCTATTTTTCACTCTTTTCACAAGCAATGTTAAGCTTTTTTAAATAGCATGATCAACACTAGGTTTAAGAGTTACAAGTTAACTTAGCAAGTTTATTATGAAATATGTGTTTTATGTTATTGAAAAAATAGTGAAGAAATCATATATTTTTGTATGCATTCAGGCTAAAAATGTTTTTGAAGAAGAAGAAATTTTAGAAAATGACGAAGAGGAAGAGTCAGACTGTGAGTCTAAAGTTCAAAGTGATGATGATGATGATGACTTCTTAGATGCTGTCACAGAAGCTTCTTCAAAGAAACGCAAGTTAGAATCAGTAAGTCAACACCTAACTTCACAACTCATTATAGTCCCCCCCCCCTTTGTTCAATCTTACCTGTTTTGATTGGCCTCTACAACTGATTTAGGCTAATCCATTTTTTTATGTGAGCAATTTGATGGTAAAAAATGAATCTCCCTTAGGAGTACGCCAGGTCTTGTATTTTACCTATCCTTAAATTTGGTAACTAAAAGTCTTTCTATACGAACCTGCCATTAGCAGAATTTAAAGTAGGCCAGCTTATTTTAACTTATTTATTTAAATTATCTTTGTTGTTAGACTTAGGCCTATTTATTTTTATTTTTTGTATTTACAGTCTAACCTTGATATAACGAACCTCGATACAACGAATTCCTTGATATAACGAATTTTTTTAAATCCCCTAGAACTCTCCATAAGACACAATGTATATTTTACCTCTACATAACGAACAAACCATAACAACGACCTTGATTTAACGAATTTTTAGTGATTTCGGCTAAAATAAGACACCTCAATATAGCGAATTTATCATTATCAGAACCTCTACATTGCGAATTTAACCTCTGCATAACGAATTGTCTACGTCTTTCCCTCGATATAACAAATCCCCCACCCCATTATTGTTTTTGAAAAATCTGTTTCTTTATCAAATGAAATGGAAAGGTGACGTCATCGCTTGCGCTAACATTCGTCTGCTCCGTTTTACACATCTCCGTCTGCTGTCGCTGCGCGCGCTATGTTGCAACTGAGAACGAGAACTGATATTATTCACTGAGGACTGATGACGACGTAATGTTTAGTAAGCTGTGATTGGGCTAAGTAACTATGGTGAATTGTACAATTTTTGGATAAAGAGAAACCTAAAAAGAATATAAAAACAAAACCAAAGAGAAAGAATAGCAACATCCTTATTTTAACATTCCTTTTTCGAGTGTTTTATTATCTTTAAATTGGCTATGATTATACACTTTTATAATGACTTAATGTATTGTTTTCAATACGATTTTTGTCAACTAGTAACACCAATGCTACAGTTAATGATTATTATTGACATTCCTCTGTTGTGATAAATCAGTTAAGTAGCCTACCGGCCTATCACGAGCAGTAGCATACAAAACTTTCTACTACTGTTTTGTTTTGTTCTTTACAAGGTTTTTGACTACGCAATACAGTGTTTCGCTAGGTTTTAGGAGGGTTAAAACAAGCTTTGATTTTAAACTTACAGTTTTTAACCTGTATCAAGGTCAATGCCATTTTCATGATTGCGCAATATTCAAGATCCCTCCCCTTTTTTATGCCGGATAATTTAGGTTCTACTGTACAATGTAAACACTGTACTGTAAAGTATTGTAGCATATGCTACTTTAATTGTGTTTTAATGATGTCTAATCCCGACCTATATTGACCGACGCTGGTTCTAAACCTCGACTTAGCGAAATTCCTGCAAACATATAGTAACCTCTATATAACGAACCCCGTTTTAACGAAATCCTTGATATAACGAATATTCAGTTCGGTCCCTTCAGATTCGTTATACTGAGGTTGGACTGTACAAACCTGTTTTCATGCCAGTGACATTTTTTACTTTTTGAAAGGGACCGATCTAAACATTTTATCTATTTAACCACATTGTTATTATTATGTAGCAATTATCAAATTAATTGACGAACCCTAGCTAAGTTTACAGTATATTGTCTAGTAAAATGTTAAAACTATTTATAAAAAAAAACTTTTGTTGAGCATAAATAAAAGTACACCGTTTAACAACACATAATAACATCACCTACGGTACCTTTGTAAAACCAACTTCTGATGTAGAGACCTTTTTACTCTCTAAAAGAAAGAAAAAAGCTATACAGTAAACTCCATTTACTCCCTATAGTTCGACATCTCGATAATTCAACATCCTTTCAGTCCACTAAATGTCGAACTATCGAGGTTAAATACTGTAAGTTTATGTAGGTTTTTAACTTTTTATTTCTTTATAGGTTCCTATGTTTTTAAGGCTTTTTACTCAATGATCAGTAATAGCGCCTAGTCGGAGCTGGAAAATGGTGTAGGTAATTTAAACAAATTTATAGGCCTAGCCACATTTACAAATCATGCCCGTGTGTATTAGCTTAGGTAGGTGTAGGCCTACAGTATAGCCTACTTATATAAAAAAAAAAAAAACAATTAATTTGGCTTTTGATAGTAATTTTGATTATTTTTTTTTCTAGGATGGAGAAGAAGATGAAGACGCAAGTGAAAATGGAGAGGAAAGTACTGAAAATACAAAAGTCACCCAAAAGAAGAAGAAGAAAAAGAAGAAAGTGTCTACGGCTGATATGAAACCACCCACAGCGGAAGAAATGATCCGTTTACGTGAAACGGAAAATTTATTCCATTCAAACTTATTCAGGATGCAAATTGAAGAGATGTTGAAAGAAGTGAAACCCAAAAAAGTAGAGCGTAAACAAATAAAACCTTGGCTAGAGAAAATTAAAGATTTTCTGATGAAAGTTGATGATTCAGACAAAATCAAGGTAACTTATTATAAGTTTGTTTTATGTTTTTGAAAATGTGTCTTAGTTTTTAGAACATTACCTACCTATCTCTTAAATGTATTACTATAGACTCTTGAAAATCTAGACTTCATCTTGGTATAGATCAAGCTTGTTTATTACTTATCCATATAATTAATACGCCAACACAAAATTTTTCCTTTGAACTCCTCAGCCATTTCTTAACCTATTTTGACCATTGACGTCTCATTGTAAAGAGCGTGTCACATAGATTAGCAAACTGACCTTAAGTTTATGAAAAAGTCTCTTGGGCTCTGCCCAGTGGCTTTTAATGTTCTCATGTTATCTTTATGAAGAACATGTTTGTTTACATTATGATAAGCTGGATAATTTAATTGCTGTTAATATTTAAGTTTCAATTCAAGGAAATGCGTCCTACAAAAATTCAACTTTACTGACCTGGTTGAAATTAAATAGGCCTATTTACTCTTTGAATTTGGGTCTGCTTTGCTTACATATTACAATGGAAAAATGTGAGAAAGCCTGGACGATTTGATATATTATCCAAATAAGTAGGCCTACATACTGTATTTCTTGACAATCATTGAAAGAACCCATTTGCAAAGTGCAAGCTATGGAAACATAAAAAGTCATAGAACACCACCAAGTAGAAGAAATAGAGATAATTTTTTTAAAGAATTTATTATCTTTATTAGTTTATATAATGAAGAACACCTACAAGTTGAAGATTCCTACAAACGATGAACGAGGATGTTAGGCGAAGTGCTACAATTTTTAGTAGGAAACATGGACTTATCTTAGTGATCATTGCAGAAGAAAGGCCTCTAAGGCTAGATAAATCTGTACATCAAGGACATTTAATCTATATTTCCATAAAAGTCAAGTGATTTTAGAAGAATAGCCTGTTACCTAATAGAGTACCTGTTAGATATACTGACATTGAATATAGGAAAAGTTCTATGGATTAGCTAAATTCTCATTAAGTGTTTAAGAAACATTCCGAATAGCTTTGGGGTGGTAGCTTGCAGGCTGATTAACCCTTCTAGGACTTTAGAACAGGGACATTATTTAGCTCAAACACCAGGCATTATTTCTTGGTTTACAACATGGTGTTATCAATCTTCAAATTGCCAGTTTTTAATGTTTTTATACAATACCAGAATAATTATTTACTTCAAATCTTCTTCAAAAATAGAACCAATTCTTCTCCCAGTCCTAAAGCCATGATATTTGCTTCTTTCCAGCATGAGTAAAATACCTGGTGATCTCTAACCAGTCCACATGTGCTGACATCTTCCATTTAACTTGCAATTTGCATGTCTAATAGGCAGTTTAAGGGTTTTGATAAACATGTTAGTCGTTCAGCAACTGCATAAGTGCTAAGATGTGTTAAAATACGTCATTTTTCTTAACCAGGGGGAGTTTTCTCAAAAGGCCCAAGATTTACCACTCCAAGTAAAACTAATGCTATTTACTGAGTTAAGACCTATTTCTTTTACTTAATTCTATTGAGATAATTAACCTTAATCAAAATTAATGAGCTTACTGTACTGTATTTTTAATTTAAACAAATCGATCAACGTTTTTATAAATTTATATCTAGGAATAAACTTTAAAATAGGCCTACACTATCTAAGCTTTTATCACTGGTATTTTTTATTTGTAGGCCTAGCCTACTTTCTGTATATCACTGTTAGTTCTAGGGCATTCTACCTGTTTTTTTTTGTTTTTTTAGCTGGACACAGAATGCTTATTGGATGTAAAATCTCCTCTACCCAAAATGCCAAAGGAGGAGGACCGACCCGTCACCCATTTCTTGAGACCTGTATCAGCCTCAGTGGTGGGTTCGTACAACTCTGGCTGCTGTCTGGGTCCTTCATTGTCTGTGGATATCACTGTTGAAATGCCAAAAGTAAGTTCACTTCTAAAATTATTTTATTTTTTATTTCTAAACCTGAAATTTCTTATTTTACATACTGCTCTTAAATTAATCTAGAGGTTAAAATACCTTTCATCCGTCAGTGTGATCATATGTCACGGATGAGTGGCGACCGGTTTCAACCCAGCAGTGGGGCCATCTTCAGGCGATGAAAGAACATAAAAAATATCACTCCAAAGAGGTTGTCAGAAAGTCTATAAATACGTCACGAGAAACAACTCTTAAATACATATTTTACAAAAACATGTGTCGCCCCAAATTGACTGTGCGGCGAACGGTACGTGGTACGCGTGTCTGGACTAGCAACTTAATGTACGCGTACCGTCCGCCGCGCAGTCAATTTGTGGCCACATGTGTTTTTGTAAAAATGTATTTAAGTGTTGTTTCTCATGACATATTTATAAACTTTCTGACAATCTCTAAGGAGTGATATTTATCAGAAATATTCACAACTGAATATTTCTGATATGAACGAAAAGATCTGATATTCGTTAGAAGATTGTAACGATTTCAATGCTTCGGGAATGTACAATAGCTAGGCCTATTTGTGTGTTATTGGGGTGTTGTGTCAGTTGTAGTAGTGGTACTAGTGAGAACTGTATCGCTAGTGTGGGGTGGCCCCACTGCTAGGTTGAAACCGGTCGCCGCTCATCGGTGACATATGATCACACTGACAGATGAAAGGTATTTTTACCTCTAGAATAAGTTAAATTTGTGATCAGGAGGCAAAAAACAACAGATATACTGTTCTTATCTGAATGACCTGGTTACCTTGTTAAAAAAACCTTCATAGTGATTACATTTGATAGAAAATGATAAATCTTCTACATAAATTAGTCAGGTTTAGATTATCAGTTTTCATTACTCACTGAGATCTTAATATTTTACTAAAACTGGATGTATATTTTACCTAAAATAGGTCCTCATTGTTGTAACGTAAGTTCCATAACAGGTTTTGGAATAATGATAGGATTATTTCACATAGTCTTTTCTTGGCATGATCAATTTGTTAAATTTTCAATAAATGTGTTATTTTGGGAGGGTTATTAAGTTAGCATGGTTACTGGTTACGCTTCTTCTCGACACTGTCTGAGCATTTCAGTTGGGCCAGAGCCAAGTTGAATGTTATCTTAACAATTTAAATAGCCGATGAGTGTGGATAACCTCATTAATTTGCTCGTAGCACCTCCCAAATTCAAACAACTACTAAATTAGTTGTTTCTGCAATCACTTGAAAATAGCAGCTGAGACTATCCAAAGATCTAAAAAATTATCAATTGTTTATATTATATGCTGTTTGGCGCAGTATACATTATATTTTTATTTTGTAATTGTCATTTAGCCTATTGTTGGTTATGTTAATTGATATTGATAAGAATTTAACTTTCAGTTAAATGCCCTGTTTGTAAAATATTTACCTATTCCTTTATTGCAGGCTAGTAAGGGACAAACACATTTTACAGTTCATACAAATTTTTTTTTACTTTTCTGTTTGTAATAGAAATGTTTCCTGAAAGAGGACTACCTGAATGCTCGTTACCACCTCAAGCGAGCTGTGTACTTGGGACACCTCGCTAGACTATTGCAGACAAGCGAGCTTGTATGTAAGCAGCAAGGTGTAAGCTGGTCTTTGCTCGGAGGAAACCCGTTGTGTCCCAGACTGTTACTGCATCCTGCCGTGGACAAACTCAATAAGGTAACTAATAACCTAGTTACATGTTCACAGGATTGGTCAGTTTCAAACATAAATTATCTCACATTCGCCTTCAAACTATTTTGATTTTTGAATTTTCGATGACAACCGTTCATTAATTGTCGGATAGACAGATAAAAATACTATTTCCTCATCTCAACGCCATGATTGCAAAATATCAAGCCGTTCAACAAATATTTAACTTATGATTTTTTTAAACAATTCAAATGCAAACAAAATTTAATCATATTACGTGTTGGTAAATATGGCTTTAGGCCAGTGTTTTTAAGGAGTTTGTAATAAATAGGTTTAATTGCAGGCCTATTTTAATGAAAATGTATAAATAAAAACACATATGTACACCAACATATGTCCATGTGTTTATTTGGGCTTTTCATATATTTTTGTCATATGGTAAGGCTGCTAAGAACCTATCCATTATAAAATCCTAATTTTCAGTTGATGTTTCCTGGATTGTTTTAATATGACCAAATGCTTTCCCAACAACAATGTTGGTTTAAAAAAAATCAAAGGGAATCCCAGTTTCTAAATTCTAGGACATCAACTAATCTCCATCAACTACATATATTTCCCATGGCTATAAATTTGCCTTGGATACTTTGTGTTGGTCTAGAGTTTTGATTGGATGGTACTAGTTAACCGCCCGTGCTCCGCCACGGGAATATTGTCAGCAATAAAAGAAATAATAATTACAAATACTGTTTATTTGTATTTTATTTAGGGGTTGTTTAATTTTTTACATGAAATAGAACTGATAGTTTGCCTGTATAAACTATTTTATGTTAATCAAACCTATATATTATTTTAACCAAATGAATGTTTAATATTAATTCGAGTTTCATTTGAAAAATAAATAGTATACGAACTGGGCAATGCTGATAACCTAATAAGCAGCTATTTATGATATTTAGATAATTTGCTCAAGTATATTCCTATATTCGTCGTTTTTTTCATTACATTTGTTGTATGGAATAAAGATAGTCACTTAGCCTACATGTAAATCACGCATCAGCAGTTGGTCGCATTTCACGAATCTTTGACCCATACTGTGAGTAAAAGCTGTGTTTATGTCGTATAGTTGGGCATACTTTGTTCAATGTTAGAGGGTATTAACGGTCCAATTTGATGGAAAAGGAGTCGTGGATTTTAAAACTATGTAGACTACCACTACCAGAAAGATGTTGATTCAAGTGAGACTTAGAACTGGCCATTTCAAATGCAGATTTGTATTATATTTTACTCAAATAGTTTTTTGTCTCTTTTGACCCTTAATACTTTTTTTATAGTCGCTGTTGATAAGATTTGCCATTAACTCAAAATGTTGATAAGGAGTTCATTTTACCTTCCCCTTGTGACAACATAAGGAAAAAATATTTGTGTCCCAGTTAGTCTGTTCTGACTCAAAATTCATAGATTTGCAGTAGCCTACTGACAAATCCAATCTAACGACCCCAATTCAAAAAAAATTGTATTTTTTAGAAGGGACTTCCAGAGCACATTTAACACCATCACTGCTCTTTACCTTTTTAGTTCGATGGTTCTCTACGTGTTTTTTCGTTCTGTATGTCTCTTTACGCCCGGTTAATGATTACCTTTTCTTTTTCTTTTTGTACTTTTCACATCATGGGGTTAATGATAAAGTTTTATAACGCTATAATGACCCGAGTCAACATTGCCATTAAACATCAAGTCAGATACTCTTCGCCAGAACCGAAATCGTAAGTCACAGTTTCTCAAGCAACTTCCCTGTGTAGGCCTACTCGAACAAATATATATAGGGTATAGTTCACTGATAAATTGTAGTTCCAAATATCCCAGCGTACTCGCCATCTCAAGAAGGTAAAATTTTCACGTCGAACACTGATCTTGAGTAAGATTAATCACTTACGATACAATGTTTGTATGTTTACCAATCGTTAGCAATTATCTGTACAACTTGCAAGCGGATTTCCCTATGATTGTTCTGATGGCTATAGAGAATAAATTATATTGATCAAAACAATAAGTTTCCGTCCCCTACTATGGGTATTATTTCACATTCCATGCTCAAACTTAAACTCAATTACCACATTCCTTCAGATCACTTTGCAGGAAAACTAAAACATTTCTGTGTCCCAGTTAGTCTGTTCTGACTCGAAATTCATAGATTTGAAGTAGTGACAGATCCAATCTAATGACCCCAATTCAAAAGAGTTGGTATTTTTTTGTAGGGACTTCCAGAGCACATTTAACACCAACACTGCTCTTTACCTTTTTAGTTCGATGGTTCTCTACATTTTTTTCGTTCGGTATGTCTCTTTACGCCCAGTTAATGATTACCTTTTCTTTTTCTTTTTGTACTTTTCACACCCTGGGGTTATTTACAGTATAAAGTTTTATAACGCTATAATGACCCGAGTCAACATTGCCATTAAACATCAAGTCACATACTTCTTCGCCAGAACCGAATGGTAAGTCACAGTTTCTCAAGCAACTTCCCTGTGTACTTGAAAAAAAATTCACTGATATATTGTAGTTCCACGTATCCCAGCGTACTCGCCATCTCGAGAAGGTAAAGTTTGGTACCACTGAACGTCTAACACTGATCTTGAGTAAGATTCGTCACCAACTATAAAATGTTTGTATGTTTCCCACTCATTAGCAATTATATGTACAACTTGCAAGCGGATTTCCCCATGATTATTCTGGTGGCCGTAGAGAATAAATTATATCAATCAAAACAATAAGTTTCCTTTCCCTATTATGGGTATTATTTCACATTCCATACTCAAACTTAAACTCAATTACCACTTTCCTTCAGATACTTTGCAGGAAAACTAAAACATTTCAAAAATAAGTTAACAAATACGTTTTCCTTGATCAAAATCGTGTGTTTATAAACAGAAACTCCAAGTTTAATAATTGCATACTGAAAGTGAGGTTATAAAAATAATAACAAATGTCTGACAAACATTAAACAGCTGACGAATAATTTATAAACTGTGTATTATATTCTTCAATAAGAATTGTATTGACTCGAACTTTAAAGGGCTGTAGGTCGTAGCCCTTAGAAAAAACGTAAATTCCAAGGAAGTTCGGCAAATCTACACACTATCCCCTTTAATTTGAGACATAAATCTTGTAGATCGGTCTAGTAATTACTGAGAAAACAGTGTTACAACTGTGTATTAAATATATAGATTTTATGGTAGCATAAACAAATTATGCAAAAAATCACATTTTTTTAGTTCAATGAAAGGGTTAGAATTTAGAACAGACCGTGATAAAATTTATAATTACTAAGTTATAGGCCTACATGGAGTCTTAAGGAGCTTGTTACTCTTCAACTTAATTTAATGAGATTGAAACTAACCAAATGTTTCACTTGTACCTATACTGCTCATTGTCTTAAATATTTTGTGTTCTGCTGTTTGCTCTTCTGGAAGTGAGTAATAGTAAATCACTAAAGTTTTTCACTAAAAGTAGAATTTCACCTTTTTGGCATGAGATTCCTGGACAGGTGTAAAAAAATATGGGAAAAACATTACCTTGGGATCATGAAGTCCAAAAATGACACATCCACTTTTGCCTGGAAAAAGCTAAGAATATCAGAAGAAGAATGTCAGTACAACTGACACAAATTAATCTGCGACTTGAACTTCTCAATTATGCGCCTTGGCTTGTTCAACCTTCTAAGTCTTTATTAGTTTGTTCAACAACTGTTTTGTTCACTCTTTTCACGAGTATTAACATCGAACCACTTCACACAAAAAAGGTGTTCAGAATGTTAAATAACATAGAAATTAGTTAGCAAACCCCAAAGCACACAAATATGTAAAACATGTTGGTAACAGAATTAATTGTGGTATCACTTGATTTTTTTTCTATTTTTAGGTTAACATTTATATATCAGCAGTTCCTCAGGGAAATACCTTCAAACTCTCTCGCTTCACTCCATGTAAAAATAACATAAGAGAGTCATGGCTCACGAAAGGGAAGAAGAAAGGTAAGTTTTAGTAGAGAGAAGTTGGATTTAGTTTAGAAATTTGTGTATTTTGATGAAAATTGAATTTTAATCTACTACTCTCTCCATCACCTTTGCTTCTTCAAGAAAAGCCAATTTAATTTTTCTATGTTTGAATTTTAATCTTTAATTTAAGTTTGGAAATCTTAAAACTCAATCCAAACACAAAGTGTACAAATAACCGTAACCTTTTAAATCCCAAAATCTGATAAATATGTCGTGAGTTAGGTACTGACAATGTCACTAGTAGCTACGCTATTATGACGAACGTTATTGTGATAATAAAGAGATATTTTTTATTCATAACAAAACCTGTGGTGCATTCTCAAGATAATAGTAACTATTCTCTTGTTGCATTCTCACTGGGTCTTAAAAAGATAAATAGTTATTATGTGGGTAACTGTTGTGTTACACATTATATTTTCCTACAGTTACTATAAAGCATGGTTAGTTGTATTTATGTGCAAGTAAATTTTTTCTAGGCCTATGCAGTTTCACAAATTAAAAAATTCAAACCTAAATAAAATTGTCTCACAAATAAATCAAAACCTAAATAAAATTGTTTCACAAATTAGCAAATAAAAATCTGAATAAAATTTCACAAACATATAAAATGAGTTAAAATCTGAATAAATTGTTGGTTTGTAATGTTTATGTTAACACACCACACCATAACAGGTTTATGGGTTAAGATAAGCTGTTGTATCAAAAATAAGCAATAGCGTATTGGGACGTCATTTTCGTCTTCCATGATCGCGGCAAAACTATTGCATAACAACCAATAAACCAGAATGTTTTTCACCAATTCTTGGTTTCAGGTATTTTAAAAATACCAGTAAACCGGAACCTATCTTCAAAAATGGGTTTTATTTTGAACCCTTACAAAAGTTCACCACATTTTCGTTCATAACTTATTTGTCCATATAATATGTAAAAAATGAAGTGCGCCCCCCCCCCTGAACAATGTCCTGGATCCGCCCCTGTTGATTACGAGGCGAGCACTATAACCACTGAGCTACCCAGCCATTTTGTCACTAGATGATATACAAAAACACTGTTTTCAGATTGTCAGACAGCGTCATCAGTGTACAATGCTAGCGTGGTCGGTGATCTGGTGTTAACTAGTAATGACGCAGTCCAAGCACAAGTTCTGGAGAACAACAACAACCTGAAAGATGGTGTGTTGTTGCTGAGGGTGTGGCTGAGACAACGCCAACTTGACACTGTAAGCGTTTTTTTTTTTTTTTTTTTTTTTAACAGTCATGTAAGTAAGACAAGACATTCATTTCAGTTGATAACATGTTATAAAAAGGTTTGGAAGTAGCTTAATTATTTGGATAGGAAGACTAGCTGTGTTTAGTAAGACAAGACTAACAAGATGAAGATCAAATGATTTGAGTTGAATGTTTGTAAATTGCAGATTAATGAAAATTATGGTCTAAAAAACTGAAAAAGTTAGGTTAAAAATGTTAAATTATAAATAAGCAACAACAAGATATGTAGGATAGGTGACATTTATAGCTTGATGTTAGTCTAAGACCAGCTACTTATTTGCTCGGCAATTCACTAAAGGTTCCATGATCAAGGACAGCAAAGTCCACATTGAAACCAGAAATGCTTCTGGGTTTTTCTTCATCAAACTGGCAATGGATTCTGTTTGGTAGGTGAGCAATACATCTACTGATCTACTGACCACCTCAATTTAAATAATTCACTGAGAATAGAATGTGATTGATGATTCAGAAGATGTGAATACAGGCACAGTAAATAGTTGAAATGAAATAATTAACTAGTCATATGGTCCTTGGCCTAGCCAAACTAAATACTGCTCTCACTATTTTGAGTTGGTTTTTGTATGTCTTGCGTCTCATTTACAACACTGATATGAATGCTTGCAGGGCCTCGGTGGTTTTAGCGGACATTTGGTTAGTATGCTGGTGACATCTATGTTGATGTCCCGGAAACTCAACTCACTCATGAGCAGCTACCAGGTGGTACGCAACGTCTGGCTTCTGCTAAGTAAGTGTACTTCCAACACCTGCTTACAGAAAAATCATGTACATTTCAGATAAACCAATTGTTAAAAAACAAATCTGATTACAAAAATTGAGGCAGCAAAACGTGGCTATGTGACTAGGGCAATCAGTTACACAAACATATATTACATATACTGTATTAGGATTTTACATATACTTTACTATATAAAGGGATGTTGTCAGTTTTTATGCTCAAACATCTACATAGTTAGTCATGACATTTATTCGCTTTTGTTCAGGTCTCGCTTAATATGTTGACATATTCTCCTTTGAAATATTTGTTTTAGTTTTTCCTTTTCAAATGTATAAGAAAGAATTTATGATAATGTGCTAAAGTATATGTCGGATTAGGCTACAAAACGTTATTTGAAAATAAACGCCCAACAATATTATTACAAACTCCCCCCTCCCCCCCACCATTATATAAAGTCTTTTAGTGTTCAGAAATTTCAATCACAAATTGTTTTCAAACATTTTTTATAATATATAAGAAATATTTTGTATGGAAATAATTAAAGCTATAACTAAAACATTAATACGAGTATAAAAAAATAGTACTAAGTTAAAACTCCACACAATGTAGTTGACACGAACACGAGGTACCGAAAAAGATCAAAATGATTGACATGGAAACGTAGCTTCAACAACACGAAGCGAAACGTAGCGTGGCAATTCAACAAAACGTTCCCCGGGCAAGGTTGAGCTCACACTGAAGCAAGGTTGTTGTTATGGAAGGAGGATGACAATCTCGCCCTGCGCCAGTGGTGCCGCTACCGCAGGGCAGAAATTCCCGTCTCGCGCACTCAACGTGGTTTACTTCTATTCTTTCTGGATGTTTAAATTGACCATTTTCAGGATATTTAATAATAATTTTACTTTTACTAGACTAAAAGAACAAGATAAAATCTAGAGCATTCAATCTATTCTCCATTAAAAATCACAAGTGAATAGTTATTATTTTAAACAAACACAACAATCAGAACAAAACAAAAGTGATTATTATCTGGAGTGAAACCAATATACAAAATATAATGTAACTTCTTGCACCATTAATATATACATATATTACAAAAAAAATTTGTCCAGGTCAGTCAGACTGGACCAAGGAAGGATATACGATGAGCTCTACAAAAAAAGAAGAGACCGCTCCAAAATTACAAGAGTTCCATGAACATTTTGATGTTGTGTTTGTGGATGCTACAGGCTACTGCAACTTGGCTGCCAGTGTGAATCGCCTCACGTATCTCAGGGTAAGTGAATACTCTGGTCTAGTCATAGATTCCCTTGATCATTGAGCATGTCATAAATGGCCCATCTTGATCATTGACAAATCTATAAGGTCATCTCACGCCTGCATTCATATTCAGTTGGTATGGACAGGGAGAAATCAGAAATATATCCCTGATCTTCTGGTCGGGATTAAATTTAATTCGGGATTTTCTCAGGATTGGATTTGTTCTATCGACACTTGCCTGCTTCCAACCCTTTCTAATGTTTGTAGCCTATATCAATAGCTTTTAGGACTCAGATACTATGAGTGAAATACTGCATCCAAAAAATGAAGATTGTAACGATTTCGATGCTTCGGGAATGTTAAATAAAATCAATAAAATCAACCACTTTCCATATTTTATAATGCATTGTTATAAGCTAACGTAGTAAGTGTTATGTTTAAAGTGTTATTTATTAGATTTATTTTTAAATCTCTATATGTAATGAAATTTATTATAATTTTTACAGATTAGACAAGAAGCCAAGTTGGCAGTAGATTGTCTGGACAATCCCAACATGAACAGTTTCCAAGCATTGTTCATGACCCCAATGCCTTTCCTACGCCAGTTTGACCACGTTCTTTGGTATGTTGTTAATCAACTAGTCAATTAAAAGTAGGGGTCTGCGGGTCAGACTTTTTTGGTTCGGGTCGGGTCGGGTCGGGCCGATAATTTTGGTCCTCGGGTTTCGGGCCAAAATCGGGTCGGGCCAAAAATTATTAATTACCGGATTTTTTTTCTTTTAACTCTGTGTTTATAATATTACTTGAAAATAAAATATGAAAAAAGATTGTATTTATGTATATTATTTCATGTTCATAACTTATTTACAGCTTAGGAGTTGAATCAACTGCAAGAAAGAAGAAAATAATTTTTTTTATCAAGCCATTCTTTCCCATTTTTATAACTGTTGAAATATCTAAATAGTTATATTACAACAAGTTTGAAATGGAACTTAATATAAAAGGATCATAAACAAATCAATTAACCTTATCACAAGTTTAGGGCCTGTGGACTGGCTTCAAGACTGCAAGCAAGAAGAAAATAAAAATTCTATGTTTCCACCATGCAATATGAATCATTCATTCCCTGCCTCCTAACCTCCCAAGTATAAAAACCTCACATTTACAATAGCATTATTAGTTACATCATCATAAATAAAGAATTATCTATTATTGGCATTTATTCTACAGCTTTACATAGGAATTAGGTAATTTTTATAGTAATAGGCTAAGCAACATGACAAGTGGAGAACTCATTGAAGAAAAGATATTGTGTAAACTAATTTACTATAACACTCTAAAACAGTAAATAACACACATACATTGTTTATGGTATAGTTATAGTAAAGGCTGTAAAAATTGCATATCATGTCATACACAGTAGTATAGACCTACGGTATTGCAAGAGATTAAAATCCTAAAACAACTGATTTTGATAGCTAATAAATGAAAAGAATTAAAAATCCATAAACTCAAGTCAAACAATATCACAATTCATAATGTTGAGATTGTAGCACAACGGATTGAGTTATCAAATAATTAAATAACTTACGTCATCAATCCATAAATTGCTGTGGAGTACGCGTTTCAACCATCAGGTCATCCTCAGCTCCACTGTCACTAGGTTGAATTTGCTTCTATGTTGCATTATAGCAACAGCGTCGATATGTTAAATAAATAGTCGTAGCCGCAAACCTGAGCCCGTCCAGCCGTGCGCACGGTGTTACTCAGTATTTGTTATCTAAATGTTTCGTACGTGTCGTGTATGTGTGATAAATGTAAAATATGTTTGGACTATTTATTTAACATATCGACGCTGTTGCTATAATGCAACATAGAAGCAAATTCAACCTAGTGACAGTGGAGCTGAGGATGACCTGATGGTTGAAACGCGTACTCCACAGCAATTTATGGATTGATGACGTAAGTTATTTAATTAATATCACAATTAATTAGGTAGCCTACCTGAAAAGGAACTCTTAATATAATTATAGAAAATTATATTAAATCAAGAGAAAAGAAAGTTAAATGCTAATTTGGCAACATAAGCAGACAGCACAGAAATTATAGTGCCCTAATTAGCAACACAACTCAATGTTTTTATACTGTAAGTCAATGTTTTTGAAACTGTAAGGTCTTTTTCTCGGAAGGAAGGGTAGTAGAATGTAAACAAAAAACCATGAATCACACTCACAGCCAGGTTCCGGGCCCGGGGACACTCAAGGTTACAGACCCTCCCCCTCCCCTCCCCTCTTGCACAACCCGGCTCGGGGACACTCAAGGTCATAGACCCTCCCCCTCCCCTGCCCTATTACACCACCCGGTTGTCCAATTGCTGACAAAATGCAAGTAACGAAACAAGGAAGTAGAGACAAAAATATATATTATTTCTTTATTAAAAAATATAAAACTGTTACAGATAATTTCCAAAGAAATTAATTCATGGTAGTATGTGTCTTGTAAATGTTGTATTGGATCTTAGAAATATCCTTTTTGAAACTCAATCTAACTTAAGAAAAAATAATTTTACTGATGAAAACTTTCATACAAATTATAAAATATTTAGGCCTAACCTCTTTGTAGTCTTGCTGATACTTGATACTTTTTTTAAAAATGAAATGGTGACCATACAATGCAGAACCAGACAATCAGAAGTGTTGTTTTGTTTTGTTACTGAATGACAAAAAGGACAATAGGAAAATAAAATAACAAGATACAGATCTGTACACTATATCAGATATTTCTTTTGTTTATAATTTATTATGTAAAATACTAAAATATATTTTAAACTAGGTATGGAATAAACAATAAATAATTAAACTGCTACCTCTGGATAAATAGTCTTTCTTTTGACTTCGTTTTCTTTGCACTGTTGCGTCACGGCTTTTGTCAGTAGACGACTGGCTCTGGCTAGTGACAGTACGGCAATTGCTCTGTTGTGTCTTTGTTCTTAAACCATCGTGAGCAAACTTAATATTTAATTTGAATTTTAACGTTTTAATTCCTCTGTAATAATATATATAAGGGTGTTTCTTTGAAAATAATAATTTAATTATTTTTTTTTGGCCCGACCCGATCTTGGCCCGATCAAATCTCTGACCCGACCCGGTCTCTCGGGCCTTCCGCTGGCCCGACCCGACCCGAAAAAATCGGGGACCCGCAGACCCCTAATTAAAAGTAGTCAATTCTTAGTCCAAAAAGGAATTGTGCTGTCAAACACAAGATAAACATCATATTTATTATGCATGCATATTTATTTACTTCTGTCGAACAACTTCAATATTTTATCAGTCACTTACTTCTTTTGTATCTTTCTAAATGATTATGAATCTCTTTCCAGCATTCAGAAGAATTGGAACGTCGTTCAAAGTGTGTTGAAAAAGGAGACAAGCAAAGAAGAGCGGATGAAACATTTTGCAACCCCTGACATGCTGGTGGCTGTCGCTGTAGGAAGGCTGCTAGAGAGAGGGGTGGGGGGACGGTTGGCTCACCTGGAGTTTCAACTACCCCCCCTACCACAGTGGGGGGTGGGGGTGGAGGCTCCCCTCAGTGACTTGACTCTTGTGGTGGGACTGAGACTCAACCCAGAAACTGCATACAGCATTGTGGAGAAGGGACCTCCTGCTAATGAGCCACAGGTAGTCCAACTGAATAACAACTCCGTTGCAGAACATACAAAAAAATACGTTGATGAAATTTGTAACAAAGGTATCATCTCATTAATTCAATACTCATCTTCATCTTAAAATCTACACAATGGTGTGTTAGTGTTGTAGAAATCTAATCTAACTTATTATAAACAGCCCCAACCAAGCTATATCATATTGACTGAGCTTCTGTGTAATGTCTCAGGCCGCAAAGTTCCGAGCGCTGTGGGGAGATCGCTGTGAGCTGCGAAGGTTCCGTGACGGGACTGTGTGCGAGACGGTGGTGTGGCGTGATCCTGATGCTCCTCTCTCATCCCGTCGGCTGGTCACACGTGACATGGTCACGTATCTGCTCATGTCACGACTACAGCTGCGCTCTCAGGACATCACATACCAGGCTGACCAACTGGAGACCCTTGTCACTGAGAAACAGGTGAGATGTAATGTACTTTCTGTGACATGGAATGTTCAACTTTGAACAAATTTGTAAATTTCGCTTGTCGCTAACTGCCTTTCACCATTGACTACAAGTCTGTAAGATGATCACAGTGAGGTACTGTGATGGTAAAAATCACATTAGCAAACTAGTAGGGATGGGCAGGATTGGGTTTTTGGTTTGAGTTAAAACGAGACAGTATTTTTTTATTCCTCATTAAATTTTGAGACGATATCGAGACGGAATTTTCCTTTTTGATTTCGTATATAACAGGAAATGCACGTTCAACATTTTAACCAGATTTTGTAACGTTGTTAAATACCTAAAAAAAGAAAAAAATAGGCAAGATTATTAAAAATATTTTATTTGAAAAACAACAGACAAAAACAAATACAAATATGAATTAGGCCTACCATATTAAAAATAACTCTTACGCATAGGAAACATGGTGATTTCAGTTAAGATATAGTTCAACTTTGAAAAATACTAATTTTATCAGTCTAAAACATCAGTCTAGTTAAGTATCAAGATCAAGTTAAGTAACAATTTTTCAGTCTTGTGTTATTTTTTAAATTATTTTGGATCCCCTTGCATGTGAGGTTTGTACCCACTAAACCTGACCAATTGTATTTGGGATCACCAGTGGCACTGCTTCAATCCAGCAGAGTCAAATTGGATCAGCCGGGTTCAAAATTATTTTCATAACTTTCGTCCCGTCGTATCTAGATTTTGCAGACCGCCAACTTCTCAAAAACAAATTACTACAAACACAAACACTAAAAGTTGTGTACAGTTTGTCCCAGAGTCATTTCACTGTGGCGCTGGAGAGGAGGCGTGTGCTGCTGTAGTCAGAGCCTGGGACGCCTTGGCTAAGCAGCTGAGGGAGTTGCCTGAGCTACCACTGGATGTCGCCTCAGTGCAGGGCATCGCAGCTGCTCTGAGGGCAACCGATGTGTTCCCACCTCTCCCTGGCCACCACAAGCCTCAGTCACTAACAGGAGTGGAGGCTGCTGAGTGCTTCTTGCTCTCCGACACGTTCAGGCAACCTCCACATTACGTGGCTCCCATTGAAGGTTAGATTTTATTATTATTATGAGATAACAAGAGTGTTTACAAAATTCAAGGACATAACACCTGCAGCACCAGCAATGTGATTTATTAGCTCCAATGTAAAGACTGCCCACCCCATAGGCCTAACAAAGAACTAGTTCCGTACCAGAATAAACGGTCATCGTCTAGATGTAAAAAATAATTTCAAAGACAAACCAATAGTCAACCATGTCTCATCACACTCAAAATCTAGTTTCAACAGTTACTTCTCTTCAAAAATAATAAAACACCCGCCTCCAAACTGCAACCTCTCAGAACTTAGAAAATTGGAATTAAGTTACCAATGGTTCACCCACTCCAGAAACTACAAAACCTTAATATAATATAATCACCACTCCTCACATTTCATAGTAGGCCAGTGTATTTTATGTATATGTGTGTACATTTGTTTTTGAATATAGAAAAGTTAGTAGATTTTGCGAGTAAACATATTAATACATATGCAACAGTAAGAATACTTTGTTTCTTCAGCTGTGTTGGCAACCCTGACAACAAAGTGTAATAGATTTAACCCTTCCCAGACAGCATATAGTATGTATGATGTTATAGAGAATCAATAACTGTCGTAATAATCGGCAGATATATCTGCCTACCTTCCAACACAAAATGTTTGCTATGTACAAAATGCTAGCGGATATATCCGCCTATAGTCCTGTAAGGGTTAATTTCAAATTACAACTGCCATTGCAATTTCTTTAATGGGAAAATGTCTACCTCTGTGATGATTATGCATTTCTATTTATAGACTTAATAATTTAATTTAACGTTATCCTATATTCTAATACGAGCAGTTTAAGTGTAAGCCTGCTTTCCTGTTAATTTCGCAAACAATTCCTTGCAAATACCCTATTTTTGAACCAGTTTCTTTAGATAGTATTTTTTACTAAAGGTGCAGAAGGAACGAATAGACAGCTAACTTACCCAAGACTTGTTCATGCAGTTAACTACACACAAAAAGTTCACAAGATAATTTATTTGATATTTGATATTTCACCACTGCAAGGAGGTTTCTATATAAGGAAAAGATAGAAGGACAGTTATAAGTAGAAATGAATTGGTTGTATATTTTTGTGTATGCTGTCATATCAACTGCTTGGACCTCTTTCTTTTGCAAGTGAGCTGTGTAACCATTCCTTGTGTGCCATCCAATCTTTGTAAGCCTCATTAGTGCTATAATACTTAAAATGTCCACCTTAGTCTGGATCTCCTAAATGCTCTTAAAGCATTATTAGTACTGCCTATGTAGAGAATAAATGTTGCTCATTACAAAACGATTTACAATAAATTATCAGTGTTCTTGAAAGTTGCACAAGCGTTTGTTGTTTGCAGGTGTTGTACAGTTGGGTCTTTCTCGTCAGTGGCCAGAAGACATCGAAGCAATCAGGAGAATCAAGGCTGCGTTTTATATTCAAATTGCCAAAACGATGTTAGAGAAGTATGATGTCCAAACTCAGGCATTCTCAGACTACGTACACATATTTAAGGTACGGACATCAGTTTATTATTGACATAAATTAGCTGAAACAAATTATTACGTGGGACAACCTCTGTTAATTTTGAATTCTCTAAAAATAACGTAACTTTTTTATTGATTAAACACTTTTCTTGTGTTATACTAATGCTGCTCAAATACTTGCAAACTGAACCAAATGAATAATTCTATATTTCTATGTCTTGCTATGATAATTTTTGCAGTTAATTGAACATATATAAAGCATTTACCACATGAAAGAAAACCTTCTTGAGGTAAAATGTAAAACAGATGTAAATATCATAAAAAACTTTGAAAACAATGTCGTTGGTGCAGGAAGGGTTTGTATTCCGGGTGAGGATTGTGTACCCACGAGAAGTATCTCTCCTGAAGGCGACAACCACTCCAGACGGGAAGCTCTGTTACCGGGATACTCCTGAGTCCCTGGCACTAGAGAGGGATTACTTGCATCTACCTAAACTGACTGGAGCACTACACGGGTGAGGAAATACCACACACATTGCAATCTTATGACATGACTAGTTTACTACACACATTATGGATCCTGTGATACACAGTACATTTATATCCCAATCGAAAATCTGATAATTTAATTTGTCATGGATTCCTTAGTATTTCTAAGTTTTGATGCTGACAACCTAATTTATTCCCATGATACTGATAGTGGTATCAGAACAAACAAAGCTTTGCCGAATATCAATCATAGAGTTATATCTGATGTTCTCATAAGTATCACATTTCATTATCCCACTTGTATTGTTATTGAATCCCAAGAAAGTCATCCTGAAAGAGCCTCCCCTGTGCCATAGACTGTAGATGATGTATGATATACTTGGTTGACAGGTTGCAGCAGCAGTTCCCAGCGTACAGTGTGTCATGTAGGCTGGCCAAGAGGTGGCTTTGCTGTCAACTGTTAGATGCCTCTCACGTACCTGAGGTGGTTGTAGAGCTGCTGGTGGCATCTCTGTTCCTCTCCCCTGTGCCATATACTGTAGATGATGTATGATATACTTGGTTGACAGGTTGCAGCAGCAGTTCCCAGCGTACAGTGTGTCATGTAGGCTGGCCAAGAGGTGGCTTTGCTGTCAACTGTTAGATGCCTCTCACGTACCTGAGGTGGTTGTAGAGCTGCTGGTGGCATCTCTGTTCCTCTCCCCTGAGCCGTAGACTGTAGATGATGTATGATATACTTGGTTGACAGGTTGCAGCAGCAGTTCCCAGCTTACAGTGTGACATGTAGGCTGGCCAAGAGGTGGCTCTGCTGTCAACTGTTAGATGCCTCTCACGTACCTGAGGTGGTTGTAGAGCTGCTGGTGGCATCTCTGTTCCTCTCCCCTGAGCCATAGACTGTAGATGATGTATGATATACTTGGTTGACAGGTTGCAGCAGCAGTTCCCAGCGTACAGTGTGGCATGTAGGCTGGCCAAGAGGTGGCTCTGCTGTCAACTGTTAGATGCCTCTCACGTACCTGAGGTGGTTGTAGAGCTGCTGGTGGCATCTCTGTTCCTCTCCCCTGTGCCATAGACTGTAGATGATGTATGATATACTTGGTTGACAGGTTACAGCAGCAGTTCCCAGCTTACAGTGTGTCATGTAGGCTGGCCAAGAGGTGGCTTTGCTGTCAACTGTTAGATGCCTCTCACGTACCTGAGGTGGTTGTAGAGCTGCTGGTGGCATCTCTGTTCCTCTCCCCTGTGCCATAGACTGTAGATGATGTATGATATACTTGGTTGACAGGTTGCAGCAGCAGATCCCAGCTTACAGTGTGTCATGTAGGCTGGCCAAGAGGTGGCTTTGCTGTCAACTGTTAGATGCCTCTCACGTACCTGAGGTGGTTGTAGAGCTGCTGGTGGCATCTCTGTTCCTCTCCCCTGAGCCGTAGACTGTAGATGATGTATGATATACTTGGTTGACAGGTTGCAGCAGCAGATCCCAGCTTACAGTGTGTCATGTAGGCTGGCCAAGAGGTGGCTTTGCTGTCAACTGTTAGATGCCTCTCACGTACCTGAGGTGGTTGTAGAGCTGCTGGTGGCATCTCTGTTCCTCTCCCCTGTGCCATAGACTGTAGATGATGTATGATATACTTGGTTGACAGGTTGCAGCAGCAGATCCCAGCTTACAGTGTGTCATGTAGGCTGGCCAAGAGGTGGCTCTGCTGTCAACTGTTAGATGCCTCTCATGTACCTGAGGTGGTTGTAGAGCTGCTGGTGGCGTCTCTATTCCTCTCCCCTGAGCCGTAGACTGTAGATGATGTATGATATACTTGGTTGACAGGTTGCAGCAGCAGTTCCCAGCGTACAGTGTGGCATGTAGGCTGGCCAAGAGGTGGCTCTCCTGTCAACTGTTAGATGCCTCTCATGTACCTGAGGTGGTTGTAGAGCTGCTGGTGGCGTCTCTATTCCTCTCCCCTGAGCCGTAGACTGTAGATGATGTATGATATACTTGGTTGACAGGTTGCAGCAGCAGTTCCCAGCGTACAGTGTGGCATGTAGGCTGGCCAAGAGGTGGCTTTGCTGTCAACTGTTAGATGCCTCTCACGTACCTGAGGTGGTTGTAGAGCTGCTGGTGGCATCTCTGTTCCTCTCCCCTGAGCCGTAGACTGTAGATGATGTATGATATACTTGGTTGACAGGTTGCAGCAGCAGTTCCCAGCGTACAGTGTGTCATGTAGGCTGGCCAAGAGGTGGCTTTGCTGTCAACTGTTAGATGCCTCTCATGTACCTGAGGTGGTTGTAGAGCTGCTGGTGGCATCTCTGTTCCTCTCCCCTGAGCCATAGACTGTAGATGATGTATGATATACTTGGTTGACAGGTTGCAGCAGCAGATCCCAGCTTACAGTGTGACATGTAGGCTGGCCAAGAGGTGGCTCTGCTGTCAACTGTTAGATGCCTCTCATGTACCTGAGGTGGTTGTAGAGCTGCTGGTGGCGTCTCTATTCCTCTCCCCTGAGCCGTAGACTGTAGATGATGTATGATATACTTGGTTGACAGGTTGCAGCAGCAGTTCCCAGCGTACAGTGTGGCATGTAGGCTGGCCAAGAGGTGGCTCTGCTGTCAACTGTTAGATGCCTCTCATGTACCTGAGGTGGTTGTAGAGCTGCTGGTGGCGTCTCTATTCCTCTCCCCTGAGCCGTAGACTGTAGATGATGTATGATATACTTGGTTGACAGGTTGCAGCAGCAGTTCCCAGCGTACAGTGTGGCATGTAGGCTGGCCAAGAGGTGGCTCTGCTGTCAACTGTTAGATGCCTCTCATGTACCTGAGGTGGTTGTAGAGCTGCTGGTGGCGTCTCTATTCCTCTCCCCTGAGCCGTAGACTGTAGATGATGTATGATATACTTGGTTGACAGGTTGCAGCAGCAGTTCCCAGCGTACAGTGTGGCATGTAGGCTGGCCAAGAGGTGGCTCTGCTGTCAACTGTTAGATGCCTCTCATGTACCTGAGGTGGTTGTAGAGCTGCTGGTGGCGTCTCTATTCCTCTCCCCTGAGCCGTTCCGAACTCTGACACAACCTCAGCCGATGTTCCTTAGGTTCCTTCACCTCCTGGCTCACACCAACTGGCATCTGGAGCCTGTCATTGTTAACTTCAATGGTGACTTGAAACGTACGTTTACATTTTGTTCAGATTACTTTGATAGTTTGAAGTTTTTACTAAAAAATTACTTTTTAGCCTCCTTAGCTTTGTTGAAGGAAAGACTGTAGGTCAGAATCATAATTTTTCAGAATAAAGTGACAAGCTAGTTTGCCTTAGAAATAATCTAAGTTGATCATAGTAGGCCTACACAGAGAAGATACACAATATTTTGTCCCCTGGGAGTCTTGAGATAATAAGTGTTGCATGAAGTGCTCAACCTCTGTTTTTACCTGTTCAAGTTACAGTAAATATGATATCTAACAGTAACATGATAAGGCGGAAGAACCAGTTTATGGTCTTAAAAAATATTACAAAAATATTTGCTTGTAACTACAATGCTTGAGAGTGACAAACATTCTCTGTTGAGCAGGTGAGGACCTGGTGGAGATAGAGTCAGTGTTCCGCAGTGACAGGTCGTCTCTGCCGCCCCTGTTCATAGCTACTCAGTATGACCGTGGAGGTTCTGTGTTCACCCGTGACGCTCCCTCACTGCCTGTACTGGCCCGGACAGCAGACCTGGCACGACAGGCTCTCTCTGTCTTGGAGACTCAACTGCTGCAACACACTGCCGAGGAGGAGTACAAGGTGCCTTGATATAATCAGATACAACTCATGCCAAGATCTAAATATTTTATTCTATGATGTTTGAATTTCCCATGGTTAAATTGAATTCTTGGTTGCTAATCCTAAAGTTGAGTTACAAGCTGTGGTGTGGAAACATACAACAGAAACAGGAATGATTTTAGTGTTTAATATCTATCTGAAGACATCGGTTACTTGTGTCTTCATCTGCATGTTATATTCAATTCCAGATGGCATTCCGCCCTCCCTTAGAGCTGTACGACGCCCTGATAAGACTAAAGCCACTCCAGTGTCCTCGTATGGTTCACTCTCTGGACTACAATGTCAAGGAACCTGTCACTCTGAAGGTGCCTAAGGTCCGCAAGAAGATTCCTGTTGTTGGTTTTGATCCACCTCAGTTATATCTGCAGGAGTTGCGGGTGAGAAAATTATTTCTTAGGGCTCAACATACATTCACTTATAACTAATTGAACTAGTAATTACAGATTTCTAGAGGTTTTTGAAAAGAATAGGTACCGGTACACTTAAACTCCAATCATCTGGATCGCTAATTATCAAGATCATCCAAGGAGAAAAAAATTGACTAGAAATAGAAAAACAAAGTTCAGTGCAGTTTACGGTAATCAGTAACATATTTTTATGTGTGCCAATTGTGTCCATCTTGATGTGAGTGGATTTCATTGTTCTATCAATCCTTAGACAATTAGTCATCTACCTAATACTACTGTATTACTTTTAGCTTGACAAACCCAACTACAGTATCCAGATTTTTGAATATCTTGATATGGTTCAGTCCCAATTGGCATATGATTACTCATACCATTGATTATAAACTTACAACACAGCTATATATGGGACAATATTCAAACAAAATAATGTACGGCAAGAATGTGGTTATCTGGTTAAATCGATGTGATGGTTAACTAGTCCTCAAAACCTGGGCGGCTCATGCTCCTCAGGGTATATATATATTCCTTATCAAACAAAATTCTCATGTTCATAATACAAGGAATAAAAACGTTGCTACCATAGATTTTTTTAGACTGTCTAAAACTCTTAAAAGTCATATTGTAATCTCACTAAAAATATACAACAAGCTAATACATTTAATAACAAAGTATCCTAATAAAACTTTTAAATCTAAATTCTACAAATGGCTTTTGAACAACCCTTTTTATTCTCTTAAAGATTTTTTTGAAATGCCTTTTATTAATTTTTAAGTAGAGCTAGCAAATTTATCAAATTACTGTTGGATTTAGTTGGTTATGGGGTTTAATAACTTTCATTATTCTAAATGCCTTGCATTTTTCTGAACAATAAGATTATTTGGTTGTAATATTAAAGTATGTATTGTAACATGTCTCCTTGTGTGTAGTATTCTTGTAAATATTGTATATTGTATTCATTAACTGACTATGCTAGTTTTAGCAGTTTTTCAGACATTGTCAATAATTTGTATAAATTCACAAGACAATAAACACATTTCATTTCATTTAATTCAAAACACACATGTACACGTAAAATAATTTTCAACATTTTTCATACCCAATACGTTGAAATCTCACTAATTCTGGAGGAGTGTTTTACCAAAAGGTTTTACACACTATCAATGCAAGGGGTAGCCCTTAATTATGTTGCTTGAATTATTGCAGTTTAAGATCCCAAATCTTATAGTATAATAGTCATAATATTAATTTAATATCAAACTAGCAATTTTTTAGCTTGGAAATTATTAATTGTTGACACCTCTGCAATTACCGATTTAAAATAAAGTTACATCACCTGTTATCCACCGACCTTACATTCGTTAGTGTTACTTCCGGAACTTTTACTCTGTTAAATTATGTTGTTTGGTGATTGTAGCCGATTAAAAAAAATAATTTAAGTGTGTTGTCATTTCAGGAAAGCTACAGTGACTATGCTCTTTTCTTCCACGATACTTATGGTGGATCAATGATTGGAGTTCTTTTCAAACCTTCTGCCTTTGAAAAACACGAGTTTAAGGTATAACTATTTGGAATTTCATTGTAATGGCTTTAACAGCACTCAATGATTTTAGCATTTTATACAAAATATTTTTGATATTATTATTAGGTTTAACATTACTGTTTGCTGATGCGCCTTGAACAACAATCAGACCATTGTGTGGTTAAGGATTTTACACTCTTAAAATAATTCTAGATGTAATATTGCTATGATTGAAGATTGTTTTCTCTTAATGTTTTCATAAATCTTAAGTAGCTTGTTTTGTTTCTCACAAACAAAGCTTGTAATGCTCGTTTTCTTTTTTTTTAACAGAGGGCTAGGCTTATAAGTAGCCCACGAGATTGTATTGCAGCTGAAACAGCTTATTGTACACCCTAAATCCCAGGTTCTTAGTGAACCATGAGATCCTTTTGACTATGGTTACCTGTTCTTCCCCTTGATCTCCGGTTGATAGGCCAAGGGATCTCACACGCAGACCGTGTAGGGCTGGGCACATAAATATCAAGTGGAAGACTGTCTCCTCTTATCTTATCTTATCTAACAGGGGCAGGCCGAGACCATAAAGCACTTCATCCGAAAAGTCAAATTATTGCACACCCCAGACAGTTGTTTTATTGCTAGGCCCTACAAAACAGACTGTATCCTCCACCTCACCACATTTTCTACATAAGAGGGTTTCAACTTGAATTCCCATCTTGCGTAGATGTACCCAGTGGCTGCTGATGAAGCCAACCACTTTCCGCATGGTCTTCCTATTCAGCCCATATAGTGATTACTACATTAATATTTTAGTTTATTGTAGTTTGTGACTGTTAAAATTCTTTGCAGGTAAGTCAAGTCAACTGCAGAAAGCCTGTAAAAGAAGACAAGAAGCAGCTGCTTGCCCTCAACTTTGATGCTATCATTGAAGATTTCTACATTATAGGCAAAGGACTTGTGAAATCTATTGAACTCAGCCATAAGTATTCTCGATAACCATATCTGTTTTGTCTCTATTTTGTACATTTTATAATTAAATGTATTTTATTAGTTGATTCACATATTGCCTCATAGCTAATTCCTCCTAGTTTTAAATTTAGTGAAGTTCAATGCATATCTATTTTTCCAACAAATATTTATTTTGTTTCATAAACACTATTTTTATCGTAACTACTAACCAGTCTGAATGTAGCCATTGTTGTGAGAGGAGTTGAGCAAGAAATTATAATCCTAGGAGTGTTTTAAGACCTTTATTGGTGTCAGCAGTTACCAAAACAGATGGTTTTGACGAAGGTGAACTCTTGTATGCCAAGGTGAGAGCCCTCGCGGCCGAGGCCCGACTGGCGCAATCCCCCGAAGGCGACCTGCGCTGTTGACAACACCGGGTCATTGACTCCCACCATGCCTACGTCCAGGGCCTTGGCCACTCGCCATGCCTGCTGAATGTCCTGGGTAAACATGTATGCTGCCAGACCGTAGGACGTGTTGTGAGCAAGTTTTAAAGCCTCTTCCTCTGTCGTGAATCTTTAAAAGACAAATCGATGAATTTTATAAAACCTTTAACTATTGATAGACATTATTAATCCTTGTAAGTTGTAGGAAGTTTTAGAATGAAAAGTGATGCGGTTGGGTAGAGCCACCCATTATATATATGGGTCTTATGGGTCATAAAAAATACACCATAAATAATGTAATATTATAATTTCATGATCATTAACCTGTTCCGAGGCCACGGCGCTAATGTCAACCTGTCCCACATTCACGGTGCGATCGTCAACATGCCTCGCGGTCACGACCCATTGTGAACATGTCCCGCATTTGCCGCGCAACCCTAAAACGTCTCCTGTAATAACGGAGACATGGTCTTTTCCTCCTGGGTTTGGGGATCCATTACGAATACCTCTCACAATCGCCAAAAATCATCGTTACCGGCTAAACCGGTGACTTTTCCCGGAGTCGCAGAGAAGTCATCATCGTCACTCGCAGTTGATGATGATTAGAAAAATTCTGTGCTGATCTAGTTTTAAATTTGAACATATTTTCCCCATCCATCCCTACATGGGTTATATTTTGAATGTTTGATTAGACCTGCTGACATGTATTGTAAATCCATGTTAGTATAGGGGTTAGCCTGTGGTTGTTGTAGTTTGGAAAAATTGTATATTCAAAAACTCACGGCATCACGACGACAACTGGACCGAAGATTTCTTCTGACAACATAGCAGAGCCAGGCTTCACATTTGTGAGTAACGTTGGCTCATAGAACAGAGGCCCCATGTAGCTGGCGGGGCCTCCACCAACATGGACCTTCGCACCTTTGCTGACTGCATCGTCTACGAGCCGCTTGACCTGCGACACAGTTTAGATCTAGTGTAGTTGTGAACTCAGCTAACCTAGGTCTTGGTTTAGTACTTGTTCATCTCTGAACAAACCCCTCAAGGCTCTTATTGTGCCTTAAGCCTATCTAACATAAGGTTGACATTACATAGTATAGTAACAAGACTAGGGTTTGGACTGTTTCCTTTCAATACACTTTCAAAATGCCAATAGTGTTCAAAACACACAATGAAATGGATAAAAATCTTATACAAATGGATTGAAATATTTTAGCTTTTGTTATTTTAAAGAAATGGTTACTGTGTAAAACAAACAAAAATACAGTTATATCTTTAATACCATTATCACCATCACTAAATGTTGTAACATGTTGGAGAATATATTTTTGTCATCCATAATATATCACCAATATGGGCAATATGTGAGTTATTTCCTGAAGTTCACAAATCATTAATGTAGCGCAGCTTGACCCGGATACTATTCGTTTGACTACCAATTAATTATGCTATCTGTCTGACATTAAAAAGACCAGGGTGTGGGAAAAAGTACAATTGGAGTAAAACGCTAAAAACTTACAATCTTCCAAACAAATGTAAATTGTTGATAATGTTTACCTTATCAAGCTGATCAGAGTTGATCAGTGGCCCAATGTTGGTGAGAGGAGCATAGCCACTGCCCATGTTAAGTTCATACTTCATCTTCCATGCCAGCTGCTCTACAAACTTGTCAAAAAAGTTGATGTGCACCAAAAACTTGTTTGGACTCACACAAGCCTGTAAACACATGAAGTTTTCTTATGTGTACTGATCAAAATTTGTTGCCTAATAAATAAATTGACCTCATAAAAAAAGTAATTGCTGTGGTATCCAGATTTTTTTACATTGTTCCTGTTAAAAAAATTGAACTAGACAGTATCTTGTTCTTTGTTATGTTATCTGTTCTTGTAACTTTCAAATTATTCTGTTACAAAGATGCCCTTGTAATACATGAACCGATACACGCAGACATCAACATAGTGACAAGTGAACAATAACTAAAGTGTGTGTGTCATGTAAATAGACTAACTAACTAATGTATATTTTCTACAGTTTAGTTTAGTGTTCAAGTGAATGAAGATCCTGAAGTTGGTGGAACACCATAGGCGAGATGCTTGTGGGTCTCAACCTATATTTTTTTAAATTGAACAGAGGAAATCCTCAAAGTAAATATTGACTAGCCGAGTACTTTACCTGTCCACAGTTTCTAAACTTGGTGTAGAGAGCGCAGGAGACAGAATGGTCCAGGTCAGCAGAGGGGAAGACAATGAAGGGGCAATCTCCCCCCAACTCTAGGTTCACCCTCTTGACCCCAGTGGCACACTGACCATACAGACACTTGCCTACTTCAGTGGATCCTATGCAAATCAAAGATAAAATCATTTCCTTTATTGCCTTACTTTGATCACATGGATGGTTTACACTGACTGGGACGGGTGGCGTCGTCCTGTAATCCAGCTACTAGGAGGTCACGAATTGTGGATATTTATAGGCATGCACTGTGGATGTGATACTCCCTGGTGTGGATTAACGTCCGCACGAGTGAGTACTACGACTATCCGCAGTACTATCCTGATAATTAGACCAATTCGTATACACCAAGGAAAAATGTGGTTCGGATTGCACTATAAACTGTAGGTCCCTTATTTGCCATTAGCTGTATGGGCTATTAATTAACAGCTGTGTCTAAGGAATGTCGGCCTTAGTCACTAACAAGACTACAAAATCGCGCCACTCATCCTACACTCATCTCCATCCATACTTGGCTTAAAATACCTAATATGTATGGTCTCCATTTCATTGAACAGTATTTAACAGTACAGTAGACTCCCTCTTATCCGGACACCTTTTAACCGGACATTGGTTTAACTGGACTACACTCGGCGGTAATGACATCTCTTTAACCGGACAAATTTTATCAGCACATCGGTTTAACCGGACTAGATCGGCAGGAAGTGGGCGGTACTGAAACGACTGTTCTCGTGGAAAAGATTTGAGACCAGTGATCACGTGTCTAAAATTTAGACTCTAAATACAATGCTCTCCTAAATTTAAGTCAATTACTGTATACAGGATGCATTAAAACTGTCCGTTTTAATGAGTTTTTGGGGACGGCTGTTTAACCGGAAAAACCGTTATCCGGACTGGCCTCGGTCCCGAGAAGTCCGGATAAGAGGGAGTCTTTAATGTGAATCACACATGTTCAACATTTCTCTGGATCATAACCCAGATGGTTAAGTGAGTTGCTAGTCTCGTGGTTAGCGTCTCACACTTTAAGACGCCTAATTCAAGAGGGACAGGTTTTAATCCACCCAATTTATGAAAGGTTGATGGATTTGAACAGCTTTTTTCTTGAGAATTCAAGATTTTTGTACAAAAAATGCCTCTAAGAAAAAAAACCGGCTGCAAGTGCAATACCACCAACTCACAAAACATGACATGTCTATAATGAAATGATTAGTATTTTCATTAGAGAATCCATAGTGTTTAGTAGTGCTCACAAAGGAAGATGAAGCCGTTTTAGTACGGTGTATTAAACGATACCATCCAATATTATATAAAAAATCTGATATTAAATAACAACTAAGTGAAACCCGTCGAAATTGATGGTTACTTTCAAGGCTTACGTTAATTCGTCTAACTGCGATAAATTGAGTGAAATATACATATTTTGAGCATTTAGCATTGTTTAAAGAGTAATAAGTGTAAAAACAATAATGATATTAATTGCGTTAGTTGCCAAATTTGGTTGATCATTCAATGAATAAAATATTCCCCATACCATACGTCATTGGAGTTATTTAGTATGTTACATTTGTTATTTAAATTAATAAATAACTGGTACTCCAGCCCCATCTTCAAACTCTCTAAAGATATATTAAAGTGTTTTGCTTTGTTGCTTTATATATATATATATATAAAAAACAATTTGTATAATAATCTCACTAGAATATCAATATAAAAATGTCTGATAAAATCAGCTCATATTAGAAATATTACAATTTTTCATATAATTGTTTATACTAAAGATTATTGTAATAATTAAAAGGTTATCCAATACTCTAATAGTTACTGGTACATCTAGGAGGTGGAAGTATCATAACCAGTAAATGAAAGCCCGGCCACTGAAGGGTGAGAGCATAGAACTTTACCCACAGCTGCAGAATTTGATTTAGAACTTGTAACAACATTATACACTCCCTTAGGAAAACCTGGAACAAAAGTAAGACAAACAAATTAAAACAAAGTTTAAGTACCAATTAATTATGAAATACTCACAGTTGCAAGATATAATGTTTTACTTATTTGCTACAAAGAGCTTTAGACACATTCATTATCGTCTAAACTGATAAAGGTGTTGATACATTTCAATTCAAGTTTATAAATTTTTCGTAAAATGAGAAACAAACTTGAACATATTTTCTGAATGTTTGGCCTGTGCAGCTTGGTACAGTATGGATACCAGTAATTGACATCAGACTACTTTTTCAGTGGCTTAATGTTAATTTTACTCTAAAACTGGCTACAACTTTGACACCGGATGTACTAACCCTTACTGTCAAGGGGTGAACTCACCAGCCTGTTGCAGGGTGGAGGCTGCAGCCAGAGCTGACAAAGGTGCATCCTCGGCAGGTTTAATGACACAGCAACACCCAGCTGCCAGGGCGGCCGCCGTCTTGCGTAGCAGCAGCGCGTATGGAAAATTAAACTGCAAAAGAGGCGTTTTTTAATCCTTAATCAGTCTATATATTTGATATATGAGATAGGACATTGTTTGGTGTTTAGTACTAGTATTTAAAAAGAACAACTGTAGTTAAGAATTTAGCTTCAAGTATGTTTGGTTAAAATTAGAGAGCGCAAGAATATATATGTACAAGAGAAAGAATCAACACATGATAATTGGTAACTATCATCACTTGATCGTATTCCTTATTGGTCAATGGGTTTGAGGTACTCATGAGCGTCGTTGCCCTGTGCAATCATCAGCGTCTCCTCTACTCCTGAACGGGAGACACTGCGTCTCTGTTCTGTACATTCTCAATTCCTCATTTTATGTCCCGCAATATTTGTTTATTAATTACTCTCCCCAAATAGTAAGTTGGGTTTCTCCTGAATTAGTATCTCCTTAACACAGTACTGGGTGTCTAGGGACTACAAATACTGAGATGTGTGATGGTCGGTACTGAACCCGTTAAATCTAAATAATTTTATTTTCCCGACCTTGTAAAGCATAATAGCATTGACTATGGTCAAAGGTAATAGGAAGTCTAGGAATTTCAAACCTCTTACCTAATTAAGTGAAAGAGAATTTTGATTAAACGAAGCGGTGCGGTGGAGAGGAGTACTTCAGTTTTGATTCCAAATTAACTTGTTTGTAACAAATAACAATTTCATGCAGTTTACCAGAACAATTATAATCTTATGTCTCCTTTTTCCCTCCCTCATGCCTCTATTTCCGTGAGGGTAAAAAGGCTAGTTAACCATACACAAAGCAGTGTATACTCACTGGAGTTATGATGGCTACGACTCCTATTGGTTGTCTGAGGTACACAAGCTGTTTGCTGTTGTCTCCACTGGTTAATGTTTCTCCCTAAGAAAAACTGCTGTTTGTAATGATTTAGGAACAAAAGGGAATGAAAGAATAACTTGGTGAAAATTGAAAGAATAGGAGTAGTTAGTCGTTTAAATATTATCTATAAGCATACAACTTACTAAAGTATTTTTCAAAAAAATATATGTTATAGTGTTGTTTTATTTTTAAGGGGGGAGCGAGCTGGTCTAGTGGTAAAGGTCCTGGGTTAAAGGTCCTGGGTTCAAGTCCCGCCAAATCACCAATGGATTTTATCAAAATTATAATGCCACAACCACTTAGGTCTAGCCTGAAGTAATGTGTAAATCAATTTTGGGCTTGTGCCTAGTGTCCTAGGGCAAAAAAGTGTTGTTTTATCTATCTATCTATCTATCTATACTATTATAAAAAAGAGGTGGTTGCTGTATGTGTGTATGTGTGTATGGGAAAAGTAAACTCGAAAAATACTGGTCGGATTGGGCTGAAATTTGGCATGATGATAGCTCACATTCCCGATTAACATATAGGCATATTCTTATTTCAAAAATCCTTTCGGGCTCCGCCCCAGTGGCTCTGGAGTTTCCCATGTTAACCTTATGAGAAATGGAATTATTGAATCTTAACAGCTGTTTCAATTAAACAAGTTGGTTCTGTTCTATGATGTTCAATAGCATTAAAGTTACAAGGATTACCAACAGGGTGCAGCACTATTATTTCTTTTACATTTATGACAACAGCTAATTTGCAACCAAAAGGTGAGTGAGCGTAGCGAACGAACTTCAACCTGGAGGCGAGTTAGCGTAGCGAACGAGCTCCAACCTAAAGGTGAGTGAGCGTAGCGAACGAGCTCCAACCTAAAGGTGAGTGAGCGTAGCGAACAAACTTAAACCAGGACGTGATTGAGCCATGCGAACGAGATAATCTTGAAAATTAAGAAGTTAAACGGGGCAAAGCCCGCGGGTTACAGCTAGTCACTATATATATTGTTCCTTCGATATTTACTTTAGACAGTGCTAGTACATTTTTGGGTATTTTTTGAGCAGTTAGATTTGTTGATGTTGAATTAATGTATTTCTCTAATGTATAGTATATTTAAGAGTGTGCACTTTACCCTTTGGTTGTACACTAAACAAATCAGTGGTTAATAAATATTGAGTTATTTCATTAACAAAGTTTTAAAGGTACAGTATGTGCCAAAATAACCAGTACTGAAATCAACATATTTTATTAATTTTCATTACTGTTTATTTAGGCACATAAACAAAGAGAAAATGATAAATAAATACCAACAGAAACTTGGAAGTAAACTTTGAAACACACTTTACTTAAAAAAATAAAAACAAACATGGCTTAATATAATCTTAAGCTGATACGTTCAGACACAAATTCTAGAGGGGTTCCATTATGACTGTACTAACAAAACTTATTGAAAATTCAGTCATAAATGACATTTACCTGTATCCTGGTCGCTTCAGCAGCAAACATATCGACAAAGGAGTTTCCATAGGCAACCTCAGCTATCGCCTCCGCTAAAGGTTTGCCTGTCTCTAATGTTATGACCTCGGCTATCTCCTGAGCATTCTGGTTCAGCAGCTCCAGCCATTGCCTCAAAAGCATTGCTCTCTCCTGTCACATGTTTGGATACATATAGGAATTAATGTAAAGTAAGAAAAGCAGAAATCTACAAATTTATAGTGGGGTGTTGGCAAACATGTGGTAAATAAAATGAAAAAAATAAAAATAATATTAACTGAAAAGTTCCTACCAATTTAATGAATTAATGTGCATCCTGTGAAAACAATTCTCAGTCTCAGATTGTTTTGATGGATCTCATTTTTGTAATTTGATAAACACTTCGTTGGAGCTACATTAGCTACTGTAATTGAATAACTAGGAATTTTAAATGTTTCTCTGATCCTTTAAAATTTAGTCTTTGTAATATTCGATTGAAAACTAAAATGTTACTTAATTTTTCTAAGTAGCCTCTTTCAAGGAAAAAATAATTTCTACTGCAATATGACTTATATGTCTTTTTTTTTGTCAAAGTTTATTGTTGATTTACAGTTGTCTCATAACTATCCGACCCTTGATAGTATGACCATCGATGTATAATTATAGATGTAGAGTTATTATACATCATGAGTATGACACACTCAGTAAAGACGAGCTGTTTTGTATCATTGGATCTGCACAATACCAGTACCAGATTCTAATTCCAGTTGTGATAGGAGTCTCGAGTCTTTCCAGTCCGATTCAGTTTTAAAATAAACAGCACCTAGTGATTACTTGGTTCAACTTATTACCTGTGAACCTTATTCAAATATATCCAATAAAGTACAAAACCTTATTAGCATATACATATTTAATACAAATAGGTCTCAATGGAATCAGAATTTAGTTAGAAAAATTAAGAATGTAGGCTATATTTTAATTAAAATATTTTTTGTATTCAAAGCAAAGTTTTGTGTTCAATAAACAAATATTTTTATGTAGTATAATTCCTAAACTGAATAATCTTAATTCCCATTAGTTGATGATTACATCATAAGGCTTCAAAACTACATTTATTTAGCTTATAGTTTGAAATTCATCATTTTCGGTAATCCGACACCCTTCCAGTCCCAAAAGTATTTATTGGCTTATCGAGAGTCAACTAATAACTTCGCCTACTATTCTTCTCCGGCCAACTTCAAAGATCTTCTCGGACAACTTACCAAGACACAAATATTCTAGTCTTTTGACAAACTAACCAATTTTTTAAAACAAAAAAAAGAAAGATTTTTGTCACTATAAACTAATTCCTTATTGTTACCTGTGATGGAGACCTGCTCCAGTTACCAAACACGGCGTTGGCTGCAACAATGGCTTCGGTGACATCCTTCACATCCATATCAGGAACAGCTGCTATCTCGGACATGTTACAGGGGTTGAAAACTGAAAACGTAAGCTTACTGTCAGCTTCCACCCACTCTCCTCCGATGAACGCTCGGTCCTGGACCAACGGAAAGTATTTGTACTCTTTGCTGTCATTCGCGTAGCATAGGTTGACGACAAAACACGCGACGGCAAGTTTGAAGTGCATGTTGGGAAACCGTGTTGGAAAGACAGAGCCATTCTAAGGTGGTTTGGGCTGAACTGGGGTGAGACGGGTATCTGATCTGAGATTGCCTGATCATCGAGATAAGAGACACAAATCTATTCACGACATGTAAACACACATGTGAGGTCATGTGACAAATGTACTTGGGTTTGAATGGATATTTCAAATAAGAGATAGATTTCATAAAGTTTTTGAGACAGTGTTAAATACGGTATTGCATTTGGTCTTATTCATTTAAGTAAGCAAATTAAAATGTATATAATTACACAATTAGAACATAATGTATTACAATGCACAATGTATACAATTAATGTGTTAATTCTCATTTTATAAATTCCAAGAGGAGATGGGGGGAGCTCTTTCATCATTCCTTGATGTCTTTGATATCCCATCAAAAATCATATTACTATATTTTGGAACATACAATATCCTAATATTATTTTTGCAGGTGCGGGTATTACGAAGTGAAACACCAGTAACTAAATTGTTTCCATAGACGAGTAATATTTTCCCTAAAATTTAATACAGACATGAACATATTGAACCTGTTCTTTATTATATTTTTACAGTATACCCAAGGCTGCAAATTAATAAAGTAACAGGTAATTTATAGTGTAAGATAAAATGAATGATTGAAACATGTAAAATATGCTCTAATTCACTTAGAAACTCACATTAATTTGACAAATGTTTAGATGGCTCTTACATTTTTAATTTTAGAATATTTTAGCTAAATATTTGTTCATCCACTTAAATAAATTTTTTCTCACATTTCAATCTTTTCTGAAATAATTGTGTATGTTATTTTTGTTACTTATTTGATTAGTAACTGTATACAAAAAATTAAAACAATGTTTGCTTCTTTTGTTCAGCGGCAAAAATATTGCTAATGAACTAAAACGATATATTTCAGTTTTGTAAACAAATTACCTACTTTAATTCCAGTGGCAAAACATAATCAGAAATTATAATTTAAACTATGATGCATGACCACCTAGTCAATATAGGCAAGGTTTTCAGAAACAACGTCTCTTTTAATGTCTGAAAATCAAGGATAAGCTTTTATGAAATGTTAAGCTTCACGTCATGTGGCATCACAATGTCTGTTTGTGAAGAACCGTTTCAACAGTTTGCTTCTGTCATAATTTTTCTTGATAAGTTGTCTTATCTATAATCTAAATTTTTTTATCCAACGTGTTGTTTAAATTTGTATAATTCAAAAGGAAATTCGTAATCACATTAAATTACAATTAGTTTTTGCATCTATTGTGAAGAAAAAGAATTTTAAGTTTGTTTACCCAAGTCAAAATATTTGATAATAGATGTTTCACTTTTACAAACAATAAAAAAATAGGCCTCAGCTTATAGTAAATTAGGTATTATAAATTTGATTGCTACTAAGGAAATAATAATCTTGATTGGGGGATCACTTGATGTACGTCAATACTATGTAGTTGGCTGTGATGTATCTGTTGACCGAACAGTTTTGTTTTCTCAAAGTTTTTACAGAAAACCGTCACAAAGTTTGGATTTCAGAATAAAATCGTTACCAAGGTATATAAAGTTGATAGTTTTTTTATACTTAACAACTTAAGTTAACTACTACTTAACTACTTTGGATATACTTAACATTTATTGATTAAGATTGAATAATATCTTAGCGAGTATCAAAGCTTAACAAGACACTACATTTGCACCCATCTGGGACGCAAGTTTTATTTACGCATCATTCGCTTAACTAATTGGAGTAAGCTCCAAGCTGTGACCGCTGTTGATAATAACAGCGTTTTACGTAATTAAATAACTCAGTATTATCTTATCATAATTACAAAGTCTCAAGTAATTGGGGGTTTCAATTTAAATCTCACATTATTATCCATGTCCAAATTCCATATACAGCTCTTCAAATCAGCATGTGTGCAAAGTTTCGTAATAAAAATCTCGCCTTTTCTATAAAAAATCGTAAGCAGTCTCCAATGCCTAAAAGTTGCACAATAATCAACATATCTAGTGTATAACTGTAACCAAAATACAAAATTATCTATGCTATGATTAATGTACACGTGCCAAATCTAATGGATTTTCTATAATTAGAAATAAATCTATGGAGAAGTTTTCCTGTTACTGTACTTTGAAAATACGTAGTCTGGAGTAGTAACAGATTTATCTTTCCAACAGATTTGTCATGCTAGCATTAAGAAGATTAATTAAAAATATACATTATATTATATTATATTCTGTGGTTATCAGAAACTGTTTTGGAGTGGTTTAATACTTTAAAATAAATTACTTGCCTACTTGTTCTCCATCATATTTAACTCTAGGTGGGGTTACATAATGATGTTATCTGGTTTACCAATTATCTTGAACTAAAACGAGTGTGAAACATGACCAGCAGAAGATATGGCAAAGGATTTCCAATTAAGCTAACAACTGTTGTTAGCGCAAACCAAACACCTGTAAAGCCAAATTATAAGACAACGGTCTCGCATCTCACTCCGTTAAGGTTTCGAGTTATAACTAATTTTAATGTTTTGCTACACAATTGGGCAAAAAATCGTTCTATGCTATGTTATGCAACCACCGAAGATATGCGTAGCTGTCTGCATGGTTGGTTGATTGACTGGTCGCTTGGTTCACTCAGATGCTTGACGCAACGTCGTGTTAGAACATGTTTTTGTACAATATCTTTTGAAGCTAAAACCTTCTTTGGGCACTTTCACAAAATCATTGGAACCTCAGAGATGTAAAAGACAATTTTATTTTTAGTTGATACGTTTATACATACTGTTTTCATATTCACATATTCATATTTATCTAAAACATTTGATCATAATTAAATTAAGTTCAAAACTAATTCTAGCAATGACTTTAGAAAAACACTAATTTGTATACCTTAATAGAATAATTACTAACAAAAGTAAAAAAAATATGAATTTTAACTCTACACAAATACAAATCGTAAAATCAGACTCAGAAATAAATTTAATAAAGGTAGTTAAACAAGTAAAATCAATTCTCTGATGTAATCAAACAAGCTGTATATGAAACGCCCCAGTTTGTATGTAATTAGGTAACAGAAAGTTTAATAATGCATTGTGCATGGGATGGTTGGTCAGAGGAGGGGGGAGCCTGGTTGTCACGACAACCATTCTGACCTTGTGTGACCTTTGTGACTCATCCTGGTGGCAACCGACAACACTCACAACCATAAACCTTCATCTGTCTACCATCAAATGTCAACTGATCTGATAACTGTCAACCATTTACCGATAATCGGTTATCGGTAAACTATCAACTGGGCACAGTGAACTATATAACGACCACTGAAAAGAGGCGAATATCAACCGATATCCATAAACCCTTAACCAGTTACCAGTCTACAACTTTTGTTTGAATCTGAAAAAAGTGCGCTGTAAACCCATTTCATAGCTTTTAACATCAACTACCAAAGACACCATTGAAACTTTTGTGTTGATATGTACATTTTTAGGAATTTCATCTGTAGGGAAGAAGCTATTCCCGTAGGTCTCATGATAAGATCCATCCACGGGACCGATTTACTTGTTTATTTATAGAGTTTACCACATTACATAATTCAGAATATGTTTTGTAAAACGCAACCCAAATTAGAAGCAGCCCTATAAAGAGGGGACAAAACAAGACAATGAGTTGCATCCATGGGCCAACCTTCTTGTTATTGTACTGTTGTACATGGTTTTAGTGTTAATGGGCATATTGTGGACCCTTAAGTAAAAATTACAACCTTAATTATCATAAGGGTAGATAAAATAAAAAAATAAAATACTATAGATTCTGACAAAACATTCGTCTATTTTTATACAAACCCTAATAACTGCAAATAGGCAAAAATGAAAAGTAAGTAATATTTATACGTGATATGTACAACCTATGTTTTATACAAAATTGAAACATCTAAATTCTACGATAATGTGTAAGCCCCAATATGAGGAGCTTGTGAGGTAAATGTAGAAAACAAAGTTGTTTATGGGAACCAACACCGGCATATTTGAACACTTGGTTCTTTTCACAAGACTCTTTACATTGTACTTGTTTAAATTTCCATTTATTTAATTGTGTTTTATAGCTTTGTGTCATTTTAAGATAATTAAATAAACTCTAGTTAAGCCTAATTGACACTAACCAAACTCCTGGACTGGACGCCAATCACTATATTTGATCTATGTCGCTTTTGCAGGCAGAATGTACCAACAAAGCAAGATCTGTTTACGATATTTAACGACGATTTACAGGTAAATATATTTTAAGACTATACACCTTTTTGTTTTCGATTGCAGAATCCCAGAATCCTAACACATCACAGTGTGAAGAGACTATTTTTATTCGTGTGTTTATTATCTATTGGATATTTCCCGTTTTTATCGCTATTCATGTCTATACTGTTATAAATGTGAGCATAGATAAAAGGAGTTTCTTTTAATCTATGATATGAGGTACTGTATTTGGGTGACAATGAGTGGTTATAAAAAAACATAACCTCTCTTAAAGGTTATGACTAGTGATTTTTAGCCTTTTAGTTGGTGGTGATATGTAAGGATTTGAACAGATTTAGTAGTATGGCGTAAACTATCGTACGTAATTCGTCCAAAATGTGTTTACCGGACTCGTATGGTAATCCCGCACTCGACTTCATCTCGCACGGGAACAACCACACTCGTCCGGTAAACACGTATTTTTAGGACTAGTAACGTAATACACTATTATTAGTCATATTCCCGTTTCAATATCTACAAGGTTAGTTTGGGGCTATCAATGGAGGGTAACACTATTTGGTGCCCATAGAAACGATACGTGAACGCACAATGTTTACGTTTAATGTGTCCTTTCTCAAATGCTAGTAGGTACTAGGTCACCGAGCCTTGCTCGATGGAATTTGATTCAATTTATAGTTAAAAAACAATCGAATTATAATTAAAAAAATGCTTTTATTACATTACATTACAACATTTGATTGCTGTAATGAAAACTCTTA